AGTTTTTATCATGAATGGATGTTGAATTTTGTTGAATGCTTTTTCAGCATCTATGGAGATGATCATGTGGTTTTTGTCCATCTTTTTGTTGATGTGGTGGATGATGTTGATGGATTTTCGAATGTTGCACCATCCTTGCATCCCTGGGATGAATCCTACTTGATCATGATGGATGGTCTTTTTGATGTATTTTTGAATTTGCTTTGCTAATATTTTGTTGAGTATTTTTGCATCCATGTTCATCAGGGATATTGGTCTGTAATTTTCTTTTTTTGTGGTGTCTTTGCCTGGTTTTGGTATTAGAGTGATGTTGGCCTCATAGAATGAGTTTGGGAGTATTCCCTCCTCCTTTACTTTTTGACAAACTTTAAGGAGGATGGGTATTAGGTCTTCACTAAATGTTTGATAAAATTCAGCAGTGAAACCATCTGATCCAGGGTTTTTTTTTCCATTTATTTATGTCATCTTCAATCTCTTTCATTAATGTTCTCCTTGGCACTTTTTCAAGGTTCCCATCACTGACCATCATGTGGTGACCTCCCCACTCTTTCCTAAGAGCCCATCTATTCACAAGCCTCTTCCCCTCAATCAGAGATGTGGCTTCAGGGGTGTGCTGTGGGTCCTAGACCTCTCATGGGGGCAGGGCATGTCTCTCCTTCCTCAATTTTCTTTTCTTCCAGTCCCTGAGGAATGGAAGGACTGTTGTTTTTCAGTTATCATCACTGCTGGCTGAGTGTTAAGAAAACAGTATAGATGGCCTGTGTAGACTTGAGTCAGAGGAGCTACTGGGGCCTGAGAGCAATGCAGAATAATGATGGAGAAGCAGCCCATGCTTTCAGGAGACACTGATCTGCTGGTGCTGAGATCCCATGGGCAAGACAGCCCTTATGAGGAAGAACCCAGGTGGACAGGAGTTGGGTGCCTGGGCCTCTGGGGAGGGGTACAAAGGGGTCAAAGTTGACCTTGGGGGAAGGGAAGGTGAGTCTTATTCCTCTTATGCAGGGAAAGGGGGCTAGCCTTCCTGGGACAGGGTTTAGGGGGAGCCTCAAGGGACCCTAGGTGGCTATGGGTTCTCGGCAGATCAGCTTTGTGGGGTGTTTGTGTGGTGGTGATGGTGAAGGGCATGGTGGGAGACAAGCCAGGCAATTAGGCTAGTTTTCTACATGCCACTTTTCTCTCTTCTAAGGTTCCTGGGGGAAGCCAAGATCCCACTCCGGGAGGTCCTTGCCACTCCCAGTCTATCTGCCAGCTTCAATGCCCCCCTGCTGGACACCAAGAAGCAGCCCACAGGGGTAAGTGCCCATTGGGCTGGCCAGTTTCTGACTCCAGTGGTGTGTCATAGTCTAGCTCCCAGCATCCAGGCCTTACCCTGGCCAGAGCTTGGGGTGCCCGGGAGGGGCCCTGGGGTGACAGAGATGGGAGGGGATGGGAGGGGACCCTGGCTCCACCTGCAGGGCTCAAGTTAGCCTGGCTTCACACCAGCTTGGCCTGCGCCTGGATCACCTCCTGTCCTGGAGGCAGGCATAGTTGCCTCCTGGGATTGGTTTTTTCACTGGAATCCCTATGTCTTCCCAGTCTTCCCGGAAGCCCTCCTCACCCCCCAGCCCTTTTTCTCCAGATCTGGAATATCTGAGTCATCTGGGTCACAGGTCAAAAGGGAAGAGAGACAGACATCCCTGTCCCCTGCCCACTGGGACCTGTCAGACTCTCTTCCTTTCCTCCATTGCTCTCCCTGCCCTTCCCCCAGCCTTCCCAGTGCTCTCCCAGTCCTAGCAGACAATTCCCAGCCCTCATCTCCTGCCTCCCGTTATTTTTAGTGAGCTAAATATACCCTGCAGGGTTCTTTCTTCCTGCTCAGTAGAATTCCTGACCTTCCTTCTGGGTCAGCCTTACCTCCCAGGATGCACTGGGGCACTATCAATTTGGAAATACTTTCTCCCAGTGAGGCCCCACGGATTCTGGGCTGAGTTCTTTTGGGCAAGCAGGGATGCCTTGCCCCGCGTGCGCGCGCGCGCGCGCGCGCGCGCGAGAGAGAGAGAGAGAGAGAGAGAGAGAGAGTGTGTGTGTGTGTGTGTGTGTGTGTGAAACTGAAACTGGGGCTCTTGCCTGGCTTGGGAAATCAGCCAAGATTTCCTTGGCTGAATAGAACCAAAAAATATTGGGCAGAGCATTGAATAGAACCACTAGTGGGTACTGAGCACTAGAGAGAGAGAGTGACTGACTGAAGTCATGCCGTGAATTGATGTACAAATGGAGACATAAATCAGGGGGCGCATCTCCTAACACTCAGGCATGGAGCGGATTTAAATGGACTCCTGGTTCACTGCCCTTCTAATGCTGGAATTTCTCCTGAGGCATCTCAGGCCAGTAATGGGTGGGGTGCTTCCTTGATGAAGGAATGCCACTTCCCAGGAGCATCCGTCTCTTTCCCAGACAGTGCTCACTGGTAGAACATTCTGGCTCAGTGCATAATCGGTGAGCCTGTCTCCATCACCTCCTGAGTCCTCCTGGTTCCCCCTTTGAACTCTCCAGTCTCCTAATGCTCCCTAAGTGTTCTAGTACCAATTTCCAATTTGAGTGTATGGGTTTTTCCACATCACCAAGCAACTCTCCAACACAGGCTGTTTGTTCTATGATTTAAGTCAATTCTGACAACTTCTAGCAAAGACAGAAGACAGTGTCAGATCCCACAGGCTACCACAGGTTAGGGCTCAGTCCACAGCACTATCCATCCCTACTCCCAGCAATACCTCAGATGCTAGTCTCAAGTCCAGGTTGTCACCTGTGCTTCTGACTGACCAGCTATATATCAGAGTTTCTGAGATCCTCTTGGGTTTGATTGATTTGCTAGAGTGTCTCAGAACCTGGAGAAACACTTTACTTACTAGATTACAGGTTTATTATAAAATGGTATAGGACAGCCAGATGGAGGAGACACATAGGGTAAGGTTTAGAGAAGGGTGTGGAATTTCCATGCCTTCTCTGCATGGGCCACTGTCCCCAAATCTCCATGTATTCACCAACCTGGAAGCTCTTTGAACCCTGTCCTTTGGGTTTTTATAGTGGCTTCATTACATAGGCAGGAGTGATTAAACCATTGGACATTCGTGACTGAACTCCATCTGCAGCCCCTCTCCCCTCCCTGGAGGTGGTGGAGGACGGCACTGGGGGTGGGGAGGGGGGCTGAAAGTTCCAACTCTCTCATCACAAGCCGGCTTCACTAGCAACCACCTCCCATCCTTAGGGTCTCACCAAAAGTCACCTCATTAACATAACAAAAGACACCTTTAGCATTCTCATCTCCTAGGAAATTTCTAGGGTTTTAGGATCTCTGTGCCATAAACAGGGACGAAGACCAAATATATATATTTCTTATTATAGATCACAATATCACACACATACCTATTGTTGAAAAGGATTCTAAGGACTTCTGGAGCTACCCCTCCAGGGGATCTCGAAGAGGGCCAGAGCTCTCTTTAAAGGTGCAGAGCACCGATGGAGGAAGCATGGGCGGCTGGTGGGAGAGGTACTTTGAGTGAGGGGATCTGCTCAGTGCTTCTCCAGCACATCTCAGGATGGAGCTGCCTGCATTGCTGTGTATGCCCCCCAGTGCCTCCAGCCAGGGTTTCCCACCTTCTGGCCGAGCAGCTCACACATCTCTCTTCTTTAGCCCTATATGCATCCATGACCCAATAGTTTCCTTCATGTTCTGCACTTGCTCCCCTCCAAGTTCAAAGGCCCATCCAGCCCTGGAGATGGAGCTTTTCACCCCCGTCCATGGGGCTGAGCCAGGCTGGTGACCATCCCTGGGTCACTCATCTGCTCCCTTGTTGTTCCCACACTCTGTCTATGCCTGGTGCTCACCAGCTGGGAACCAACGGTTTTCTTCCCTGGGCTGGGACCCCTGGTTCTCTGCTGAACTTGCCAACCCTTCACAAACCATGTCTCCAAGAAGAGAGTGTGAGAGCCAGAGGCGATGGATGGGGGAGTGGGCTGGGCCCTGCTTCATTTGGCCCCCAGCTGAGCATGGGCTAGGAGAGTCAGGCTCCCCCCTTATGCCCAGGAGACAGCTCTGGCCTGTGGGGAGGGTCTGGGTCCATCTTGTAGTCCCTAGTGATAGCACTAGGTTGCAGAGAAGCCCTAGGCATCACCCAAGGCCCTCTGAGCTGGGGCTTCCCATGTGGAACCTGGGGCTGGTTGCAAAGCAGCAGGAGGCACAGAAAAGTTAAGACATGCTCAGAAGGGACAGGGAGCTGTGCCAGAAGCTGAAGATTCTCACTGGCCACCTCAGGGCTGGGCCCCACAGGCAGAGCATGCCAGGTGTCTCTGGTTGGGCATAGCTCAGTTTCCAAAGGAATTTGCTGATGGAGGGATGGGCATGAGACAGGGCCTGTGGGATCCTTAGGAAACATTGGGAGGACTGAGAGGAGGTGGGCCACTGGAGACCATGAGGCCCTCCTGCAGGCTGGGCCATGGACTCGTTGCCCTGTGTTGCAGTATTCTCAGCCAAATCCCATCTGACATGGCACACTGGGCTTTGTGCCATGAGAAGATGCCAAATCTATCTTCAGATAGCTTCTAGACTGAAGGGGAAAATGCTACCCCTGTCCTGAGGGAGCCTCCAGGTCCAGGGAGAATTGGGTATGGGGGAAAAGAGCAACATTCTCACAATGTATTTTGAGAGCAGCTTGCTAGTGAGGTTGTGGATGGACCACAAGAACAGTATCACTGTTGCCTCGGCCTTAAAAGCTGAAGTCAGACTAAAAAGGGAAACCCGTGGGCTGACAAGAATAGTGGCCTGGTGAGTGAGTGAGCCGGGTCAGGCTGCATGTTGGGAGTGGGGACTGGAGGTGGGTAGCACAGAGCTCTGGTGAATCTCTGAGTTTCCTTCAAGTTTTCTGAAGATACAGTACCAACCCCTGCTTCAGCTCAGGGCCACATCTTACCCTTCTGGACATTGTCTGAGGGAAAGGTAAATAAGGCCCAGGCACTACGGGCTTTCCGGTCTATGGAGAGTGTATGTTGGGAGAGGTGGGCATGGGCTGGTCTTGCTGAGCTGAGTGTCAGAGAGCTGTGGCCCAGGAGGTAGGCAGCAAGCAAGGGCCTGAGCCTGTAGGGTAGGCAGAGGATCTCACAGGCTGGCCGCGGAACCTGCTGGAGGATCTGATGAGGTTGTCCCCTGCCTTTGCCTCTGGTTTCTGGAGGGCCAAACAGGGCCCTCCAGACTTCTGTGATATTGTCTACTGTGGATCCCAAGATGGCAGGTATGCATGACTGAGGTGACCTCCTCCAGGGCACTGTGCTTTGGTGGACACATGATTGACCGATAATGGTCATGTGATAGGATGACTGACTGCAAGGTGGTGCTGGGGCTGGAGACCTGAGAAGCAGGGCTGTAGGTGGGGTACCTTGACGTGGACGGCCTCAAGGAGGCTCCTGCTGGGGACTCTAGGCCAAGGTCAGTGGTCTGGGAGGGCATGGAGCTCACATATGTTCCACAGGAAGAAAATCTCAGCTTTGGTTATGTATAGAGAGGGGGACAGGCTATGAGGTATGATGTTACAGTGAGCTGGAGGTCTTTACCCTGGATGGGGCAACATGTCCCCTTTCCTTCAGATTCCTGCTAGAGCTAGAAGCCTCCAGTGTTAACCACCTGCAGGCCTGAAGCATGGTCTCTGGAGCCTGTTCTAGATCCTGGGCTCTAGATCCTCTGGAGCTGCCGGGAAGTACCTGTGGCTCCTTGATAGGTATCTGAAAGATGGAACTGGCTCAGTGCTGGAAATCTCATACAGGTGCTTGGAGCCACGGGATGTTGCCAGTTCTTCAGGAGGTTTGTGTGGGGTGCTCAGTGTGGAGGTACCTGAGGCTCAGGAAATCCCAGGAAGGGCTGCTGGATTCTGGCTGCTGCCCTTTCCTGCTTCTCCTGGAGCGCTGCTCCTGAACCCCATGCTGGTACCTAGGTGCTGGTACCTGGGCCATAGTGTGGAGCTGTGGCTCTACCTCTGCACAGAGCACAGAGGTGGTACACTAGAAGCCCCCAGGTGGTGTGGAGAGGGTGGGTAGGAGGGGAAAGCCCCAAGAAATAGGAAGAGGTGTTCTTCAAGGGGATCTGGTCCCAGGGTCAGAAGACCTCAGTCATCAAGTGTTAGAAGAACCCAGGGCTGAAGGACAGCCAAGCAGTGCCCCCTTCAAAGTATTGCTCAAATTCTCCTCACCTCACTGCCAGACCACTTGATTTAACACTGCAAGCTGTACCCCTTCCTGCTCCCCTGATCCCTCTTGCCATGATTTACTTTTTCATTTATTTCTAACATACTCTATATTCTATGTACCTATTTCATATGCATGTTTATTATTTGTCTGTCTCCTCTGCCAAGATGTCAGCTCCCTGGGGGCAAGAGCTTTTGCTTTGTTCTTGGAAGCATCCTAATATCTCGAAGTGCTTGGTCCCTAGCAGGTGCTCGATATATATTTGTGCAGGGAAAGAATAAGCAAATGAATGAATGAATGAATAAATGGGTCAGGCAAGAAATATCTGGTGGGGGCTCCCCATCTTTCAGATGCACACCCATCTCAGGCTAGGTCGAGCAAACACCCCTCACAGGGCCAGCCTCATGGACAGTCGGACCCTGCACTTGGTTTAATTCTCTGCTGTTGCCATCTTGAAATCTTAATGTTAATTTTGCTCTTGGCTTGCTAGCCATGTGGCTGGTCCTGACCTCACACTACTTCTGGAGAGTGGAATCAGCAATGAGTGTGTGAGGGGCTTTATTTGTCTTTGTGGAGTGAGATTTCTGTGGTCATAGCAGACACAGATTTCTCAGCTTTTTAAACCTTTCATTTTAAAACAGTTTAAGATTTAAAGAAAGGTTGCAAGAATAGTACAAAAAGTATTTTGTCCTAAACCATTTGCAACCAAGTCACCAAACTCCTGGCCCATCACCCTGAATTTACTGTGCATTTTCTCCGACTAAGGACTTGCTCCTACAGAACCACCATACAACCTGCAAGAATTGAGGAAATTGATGTTAATAAGCACTGTCATTTAACCCACAGACCCCTATCCAAGTTTCATCAGTTTTTTCAACAGTGTCATTTATAGCAAAAGCACCCAGTCATGGATCATGCATTGTGGTAGTTGTTTTGTCTCTTTAGTCGCCTCTCGTCTGGGAGAATTACTCAGTCTTTCTTTGACTTTTGTACACTTGTGACCTGGACATTTTGGAGACTACAGGCCAGTTACTTTGTGGAATGTCCCTCAGTTGGGGTTTGTCCAACATTCCCCTGTGGTAAGATTCAGGTTGTGTGTCTTTGGCAGCAACAGAGCAGAGACGCTGTGCTGACCACATTGGATTGTAGGTGACCGAGTTCTTTGGTTCCTCACCATGCCATTAAACTGGATCATATGGTTAATGTATGTGTGCTGGGTCTCTCCACTGATCCATTCCCATTTCGAATAAGGATTTTAGGGGGGGTGCTTTGTGATGATAAATACCCTGTTCTTCATCCAGCTTTTTCCCGGAATTTTTCACAGCCATTGTCGCTTCCTGGCTGGTTTATTAGTATTTTGATGGCTGCTAAAATGACAAAATTCTAAATCAGTTTTTTTTTTACTTTCCTGCATTAAGCAGTTGGTGTTTCACTGTAAGGAGAAGCTTTCTCTCTCCCTGTTTATTTATTTAGGGATTCATGTTTTCCTATTTTATTCAGTGGTTTAAATCTGTTACATCATTATTTATTTTCATGTTTACATTGTCCCAGATTTGGCCAGTGGGAGTCTCTGAAAGTAGGCTCCTTCTGACATGTTTCTATCACTTTTTGAGTATTTCCTTGTTTTGTGGCACAAAGGAAGATGTCCAGGGTCATCTACCTTCCTGGCTGAGACCTAGAATTATTTCTCCAGAGCCCAACTTGCCTTTTGATGATGATGATGAGGGCTGTTAAAAATGCAGATGCCTAGGCCCACCCCAGACCTATTGATTGGAATCTGCAGGAGTCCAGCGTGGCTGTGAGCGGGCATGAGTATCTGGGGCAGCCGGAGAGGCTGCTTGTTTCCCTTTGGGCGGCAGGAGCTTGGTGTGCGGGGGCACCGTGCTGCTTCAATGGCGACACCTGGTGGTAGTTCAGGAACCTGCAGGGCAGTTAGGGCCGTGCCTTGAATCCTGGACTTAAAGGGTCTCATTGCCTTCCTGGTCCTCCTCCCTGGTCTCCTGTGATGCTGAGCTGGCTCAAGCCTCCTTCTTCTTGTTTTGAGCCCCACCCTCCCACCAGCCCTGACCTTAGTGTAGCTGCCCCTGCCCAGGCTCCAATTTGGAGGATTCAAGCCTCAGATCTGACATCCAGGGTCTTCAACCCCTTCTGTCTCAGGACCAGGATTCATTCCAGGAGTTTCTGGACATCCCTAATATGTACTACTCAACAGACATGTCTAGTGAGTTATGCAGAGTGGCTCAGAAGTTATAATGTATCATTAACAATTAAGTTTATGAGGGGTTTGTCAAAATCTGGGGAAATGCTTACTATCTAACATTAAGATAAAAGCATTTTATATAAAGCAGAGCTGTACAATATTTATTTTAAAATATTGGAAAGAATTGTACCAAACTGTGAACAGTGGTGGAATTATGGCAATTTGTTTACTTTTGAATTTTTTTTTCTTTAAGGTACTTTGCAAAGTTTCTTAAATAGAGCACTTATTGTTTTGATCAATAACAAAGGCTGCCCCAGGAGCACTGACTGATTTGTGGTGCCAGGGGAGGCTCAGCCAGGCCCCCACTGGCCTAGGAGCTGCACGGCTGGCCAGGTCTTGTGGTGGGGGCCTGGGGGATGAGGGCACAAGGCAGCCTTCCCTGGTCCACATGAATGGTGGGACCAGCCACTCTCCTCTCAGCTGGTCAAAGCTGGAGCAGCTGAGGTTGAGGCTGGGAACAGGTGCTTCTGGAAGGGAAGAGGGCTCAGAAAGGTGAGCAGGACCCCAAGACTTTCTCAGAGCTAGCTGGGGCCTGAGCAAAGCAAGGATGAGCTGCTGTCTGTGGAGAAATAGGGTGGATCCTTGGCTGAGCAGAATGGCCAAAGGGGCTTTTACCTGAAGATGGGCCTGCGAGTTTAAAAATCCTGCAGGAAAACTGAAGGAACAAAACAGCAGCAGACTCACAGACTCCAAGAAGGGACTACGGGTTACAAAAGGGGAAGGGTGGGGGAGGGCGTGTGGGGAGGGAAGGAGAAGGGGATTGAGGGGTATGATTGGCACACATGGTGTGTGGGGGATCATGGGGAAGATAGTGTAGCATAGAGAAGACAAGTAGTGACTGTGGCATCTTACTACACCGATGGACAGTGACTGCAATGGGGTGGGAGTGGGGAGGGACTCGATAATATGGGTGAATGTAATAACCACATTATTTTCCATGTAAAACCTTCATAAGAATGTATATCAGGACTCTCTTGTCCCCTCCTGGTGAGGACTCTCTTGTCCCCTCCTGGCATGAGCTGGGAGCTCTGTCCTTTCACTTTATCTCTAAATAAAAGCCTGTACCTTGCTCTCCTAAAAAAAGAAAAGAATGTATATCAATAATACCTTAATAAAAAAATTGTAAAAAAAAAACCCTGCATGAGAGGATGGATTGCTGATTCATTTATGAAAGTTTATGAAGTGCTCTGTTAGCTAATTTCATCCTCATCTGACTCATGAGAAGGTACTACTGCTGTTACCACCCCCATTTTACAGATGTGGAAACTGAGGCACAGTGAGGTTACAGATCTTGCCCGCAGTTACACAGCTCCTGAGTGGTGGAACCTGACTCCGGAGTCTGTGCTCTTGACCACCTGGCTGTGCTGATGGGGCTCTGGGGTGGCAGTGCCCGTCTGCTGCAGAGCTGAGCCCTGTCAGAGCCATCCTCCTTGGTGGAGGGGTGACAGGAGCAGGCAGGAGGCTGAATGGCGGTGATCTGGGGCCAGGGCCCTGACCCGCTGCCCCCCTGCCCCCCTGCCCCCATCTCTTCCAGGCCTCGCTGGTCCTTCAGGTGTCCTACACGCCACTCCCGGGAGCCGTGCCCACGTTTCCACCCTCTGGGCCTCTGGACCCCTCCCCGACTCTGCCTGACCTGGATATGGTGGCTGGTGAGGAGCCCCTGGGCAGGGTCCCTGGGGAAGAGGCAGTGGCACCTGAGCCTGGGGGTGGGGTCACAGTGAGGCCTCAGCCAGCCTCTGCTGCCTTCCCCAAACTCGGGCTTCCCAGTGGGTGGGAGTTGTGAGAGCTGCCTCTGCCATGTGGTAAAAAGGGACAGGAGACCTGCTCCCCTGGGTGCTGCAAGGATGATGTGAGGATGCTGCCCCATGCACCCTGGCTGTCCAGGGCGGGAGCTGTGCCTGGGCGGGGTGCTCTGCCTGGGCGGCTCTGAGATGGCTGGGAGCTTCTGAGGGCATGCCTGTTCTGGGGTGGGGTCTGTCCCAGATCATGCCTGAGGTCCCACTCTCTCTGGAGGCCAGTGCTTTCCTGCCCTAGCACTCAGCAGACCTTTGCTGGTGGCATGTGACAAAAGCTGGATTTTCCTTGAAAGAGCCCTGAGCTGAAGTCAGGGGGCATGAGTTCCTGTCTTGCCTTTGGCATCAAGTAGCTGTGTATTAGATCAGCCACTCTCCTCCTCTGGGCCTAGCTTATCATTTGTGAAGTGAGCAGACTGAATGAGCTAAGTCCCAAGGTTGCTTCAGCTCTCTTCCCTTGCCTCTGTCAGCCTTGTCAAGGCAGGGCCCACTCCATGGTGGCTGGCTTGGATTTAGCTGGGTGACAGGGGAGGTGGTCCACCTGCTAGGGTGAGCAGGAAGCTACACAGATGGGCTGGGTGGGGACTTGCCCATGAGAGTCTGTAGTTTCTCTCATGGTGAAGGGAGCGAGAGGCAAACTCAGACTTAAATCCCAGCAGCTGCCACCTGGGCTGTGCCCTAAGTCTGTGCAGCCCAGCCCTGCATGGGGCCTGTGGAGGGGGAGGTAAAGCAGGGCCTGTCTTGTTGGGGCTTGGCACTGTCTAAGCTTAGAGATGGGAGGTCAGCTGGGACTGGAGCACCGGCTGGGGTTGGGGAAGAAGGGGTCAGCCTGATGACAGAGGGTGGGGAGACAAAAGGGCTTTGACTATTCTGGAAACCTGGAGGAGGATGTGATAGAGTGAGGTTTAGGCCATACAGGGAAGGCTCCTAGAGGTGTCTGTTTGTTCCCAGTCCTGTCAGAAAGGTGGTGAGAATGGACAGTCCCCGACGGACAGGGTAACCATTTCTGCGCTTTGTGCCAGGCCGGGGCAGGCACGGGGAGCAGGGTTGGGGTGGGGTACGTCAGGCTGGCTTCCCTCACCCAGCACCTCTCCCCTCCTGGGGCTGTGCCCTGCCCACATGCCAGGTGGGGGACAGAGCCGGGCCGAGACATGGTCCCTGCTCAGTGACAGCACCGTGGACACGAGATACTCTGGAAAGAAGTGGCTGGCCCCCACGGGTGAGACACAGCCAGCTGTTCCTATCTCAGTCCTACCCCCTGTAACTGTCTCACTTGCCACGACCATCAGCTCAGCGGGGAGTGGGACAAGGTGTCTGGAGGGACTCTTGCTGCAGACATGGTGGGGAGGGCTAGGGCCATCCTGTGTCCTCCCTGGTGACTAATTGGACTGACTGCCCTCAAGTTTCAGCCTTCAGAAGCTCCTTTTCCTTCTTCTTCATCTGTCCTGGCTCATCAACAGGGAAGGGGAGGGGCAGGGGCACGGGTGGTGGGTCTCAGCACCCATGCTCTTTGGGTCCTCCGTCAGCTGGGTGGGGTCCCAGGGCAGGGCCAGAGGGACCTGGTCCTCATTAGCACCCTCTCCTTCCAGACACAGGAGGAGAGGAGGACACTGAGGACCAGGGGCTCACAGGAGATGAGGCAGAGCCATTCCTGGATCAGGGTGGGGCCCCAGGTCCGGAGGGTCCCAGCACCCCAAAGAAGCCACCCTCCCATCCTCCCCACTACCACCCTGGGGGCAAAAGAAAGAGAAGCGCACCCACGTCCAGAAAGCTGCTGTCGGACAAACCGCAGGATTTCCAGGTGATGGGCCACTCCCTGACCATGGTCTTCTCCTTTCCGGATCAGCAGCTGCAGATGCCCGGTGCCTGCCTGTCTGCCCAGCCTCGGGAGGGGCCTAAGGGCTCTCGGAGGTGGGAGTCTCTGGTTTCCCTGGGTCCTGGGCAGATGCTCAATGGACGGTTCACACCTTGGGGCCTTGGAACAAGCCTCTGCCTAGTGCCTGATTTTGCTCTTAAAGAAAGATAAAGGTCCCTGCAGAGATTGTGCATATTTTTACATTTGTCACCTGTTTTCCGACCAGAGTTCATCTGGCCGGGCAGCTCCTGCTGTTCCCACTGTGGACCAGTGTGAGCAGCACCTGGAGGTTTGTTAGGAATGCAGAGCCCCAGACCTGCTGAATCAGAATATGCATTTTAACCGAAATCGCCAAATCTAAACTCTTTAGCTGTCTTTTTTCTCTATATACCCATTCCCTTCCTTATAGCTGTGGATTTTTTTGAAAACCATGTGGAATTTGAATTTGTCCAACCCTCACTCTTTGACATTTTTATCCAAAAATTCATCCCATTTTCTTTGCCTTTAAATTTTGTTTCTTTGGGTATTCATTTTCTTTTCTACAAAATTTTCCATTTTGATGTAGTTGAACTTAGTGATATTTAACTCTTTAGAACTACTTTTAAAGTTAAAAAAACAGGAAACTTCAGTCTTTATTAAGTGCAACAAAATGTAAAAATATATTTTAGTTCTAAATCATGGTAATTAAAGCAAAAGTCCTAGCTATGATCACTGTGTTTGCTTGAGAGACAAAATTCTAACAATTATTATTATTATTCTCAAGATGTGTTCTTATTGCCTTTTTTCTCCTTAGAAAATTAATATATATGTTTATTATAGAAAATTTGGAAAATATGGCAAAATTAAGAGAATAAGAATCATGCATCCACCTTCCCATTGTTATTAATAGTATGTTCTTCTATAGTATGGCATTTAAAAAAGTTGGTTAGTAAATAATAAATAACTGCTGATTAGAAAATAATAATATATAACTGAGATATAGAAATATGTAGAAAAGTATATAATATATAATATACTGTTAATATTATAACAATAATAAATAACTGCTGATTAAAAGTATAACTAGTAAACATCCTATTTTTGCATGAAACTTGTTTTACTCTTTCAAAATTTCATATTTTTAAATATTTTGCCTAAATTGGAAGCACAGATATTCTGCAACCTTCATTTACTTAAAGTTTAGTGGAGCAAACTTGTATTTCTCAGAATATGACAAATTGTTGCATCCCTATATAGATTTGACCTCTGAAGGAATTGTCAGTGAGGAAAGTTCAAGTTATGTAAAAAAATCAGCATCAGGAGGTCAAGCTTGTGCCAATGGCTGCATGAAATGAAGCAGGGCCGGATCCTTGGCCCATCCCTGCGATTTAGTGCTGGTAGCTTACTTGGGGCAGCTTGGCAGCTCTTTTGTGCAACTATGGGATTTTACAGATGCAAGGGACTGTGTTGGGAAAATATGATTGTTATAATTGCTCTTCCTAATTCCTTTTTAATATCCTTCCCAAGAAGCCAGGAGTGAGGATGGTTCCTGAGATTTCTGACTCTCTTGAAGCTGGGAGTGGGCTGCCTGATGACTTCCCCCTTCCTCCTGCTTATGCTCCCTCCTGGCTTTCAGATCAGGGTCCAGGTGATCGAGGGGCGCCAGCTGCCAGGGGTGAACATCAAGCCTGTGGTCAAGGTCACAGCTGCTGGGCAGACCAAGCGGACGCGGATCCACAAGGGAAACAGTCCATTTTTCAATGAGGTGGGAGGCACTGAGTGTCAGGGCTAGGACCTTGGGGATCTTCCAAGCAGACACTGTGCTGGGACTGTACAGCAGACACTTGGCAGTTCATTCAGTGTTTACGTAAAGGCTAACTTGGGTTGAGAGATGTGCCCGGGCCTGAGTAGGTTATCTGAGGAATTGGAGAGAGGGTTCTAGTCCTTATTCCTGCCTTGGGCTCCCACTGTGCCACATCCCTGTCATCCTGCAGGACCAGCCACCCGCTCCGTCTGTGAGGTGACAACCTCTGTGAAGTCGGGTGGAATACCTGAGAACCAGTTGAATTCCCAGTTCAGTGCACACTCTGGGTAGACCACACCTGAAGGCTGTGGGTGGTGGCCAGCCCTCTGTCCGGCCTGGGGGGTCAGCAGGTCCTCATTTGTCTTGCTTTCACCCTGAACCCACAGACTCTTTTCTTCAATGTGTTTGACTCTCCCTCGGAGCTGTTTGACGAGCCCATCTTCATCACGGTACGTCTGAGCCATCAAAGCACTCTCTGTGGGCTCTGTGTGATGCATGCCAGCATGTGCATGGGTGTGTGTGAGAGGCCTGGCCATGTGGGGCAGCTCACTGCCCAGCTCTGCCTGTTACAGAAATGCCTTCAGCAGCTCAGATGGGGGCAGCAGCCGAGCAGGGAGACCCTCAGGCACCTCAGGTCATGGTTCTGAAACCATTCTTGGAGCAGACACTTTGATTTTCATCTTATTTTGTTTGTCTGCGTGCCTACTTCTGGCCAAGAGTTTCTTCCTCTGGGCCTCAGCTCTCTTTTCTCTCTCTCTCTGTCCACTGAAAGGCAGTATAGTGGTCAAACGTATGGGCTTTGGGCCAAACTGCGTGCATTCTAGTCCTGCCTATGCTATTTGGGGGTTGTGTGATTCTGTACAAGTCCTGTAATCTCTCTGTGCCTCTGTGTTTCTTCATCCACAGAATGGGAATTGTAAAAGTACCTACTCATAGCGTTCCTGTGAGGGTTGAACTTTGCTTAGAATAATCTCTGGAATAGAGCAAGTGTATCTAAGTGTTGGCTGTTATTATTTGGGAGGGAAGAACTGTAATGCTTACTTGTAAATGAGAGTGTTAATTTCTCTTTCCCTCCAGGTGGTTGATTCCCGTTCCCTCAGGACAGATGCTCTCCTTGGGGAGTTCCGGGTAATTGCTTATTTCCTTTGAAAGCCTTTAGTTCTTGCTTATTCGAGTTAGCAAAGGCTACTCAAATACTGTGCAGAGGGTGAGCTCCAGAGATCCTGTTTGTCTTGATCTGTTGGGGAAATACAGTTAAAAAAACAAAACAGATCTCCTAACCCGGAAATCTTCTCCACAAAGGTGGTGGAAAAAGAAAAGATGTTTATTATCAAATAACCATCCAAACCAGAATGTGATGCCTATCACAAGCAATCCACCACAAGATTGTAAAGACAGAAAGAAATCTCATTCAACTAAGCAGATACAATCCATTGCATACATGTTTTTAAGACAACTAGTCCCCAAGTCAGAGGACTGGACAACACCCTTGGTCTTACATAGTTCATCCTAACTGGGTTGACCATCTGTGTTAGCCAATCAGTTTTGTCCAGAGGGAAAAATGGGAAACAAACTAGCATTTTTATGATGGGAAGTTGTTTTACAACTTGGAGCTAGGCACACACACTGCAGGTAGGCCCTCCCTTCCCCAGAGCGAACAGAGAAAGTACTTGTATTTACAAATTTTCTAAGGTAAACATTCTGACCAAAAGGGAGGGGAGGGAAATCTCTTCCCTTATTTCCAGGAGGAGAACTTTAGCTTCTTGTTTTTTAATTCACATTTGTCCTGACATCCGGGGAGGCAGGTGGGACTTGGGTTTAGGTAGCCCATCTTGGACTGCATGACCAGCACTCTGCCCCTGAGCTCACCCTGACTCTGGGCTGGTAGTGGGGTCCAGATGTAGAGTTCAGGAGGGTGAGGGGCAGTGGCGAGAGGGGCGCCTTCCCCCCTCATTTGTCCCAGACAGTGCATAAGTGAACAGTGCAACATGGAGACCCAAGAGCTGACTGTATGATTCAGCTCATAGGAAGGCTTTAACAGGTTACAGAAAGCAAAGTCAGCCAGCAAGGGAGGCCCTCATGAATGGCGTTTCAATGTCATTACTGATTTTCTCATTTTCAAATCTTCAGGCATTTATCAAATGGAAAAAAAGGGTACAGGCTTATTTTAACCTCCCCTATTATCCAAATAAAACATGCTTCTCTCTGGGAAAGAGTCACAAGACTGGAGACTAAGTCTATTTTCCTGGAGAAGCAGTTTTGAAAGGAATGGATTGAACCTGAGTCATTCTCAAGCAAATGGGGTCTTTATGGTTTGAGTCTCCAATCTCTTAAGGTAGAAAATTCTTTTCTCTTTTTTTTAATTATAAAAGTAATCCATAATTAAAAAAAGATCTTTAAGAGCAGTTTTAGGTTCATAGCAAAATTGAGTAGATAGTAGAGTTCCCTTATATCCCCAGGCCCCAACACACACAGCCTCCCCCACAGTCAACATCCCACTCATCTAGGAACTTTACAGGAAATTATAAAATACAGGAAAGAATAAAAATAAAATAAAAACCACCCAAATGTACCACCCAGACATAGCACAGTTACGCTTTTGTGTGTTGCCTTTGCTCTGTCTTTTTTGTGCATGGATACACTTCCCCAAACTTTGATTAAGATGTGTAGTATTTTCTTTCCATGTAATATTAAATGATGAATGTCTTCCCACATCTTCAGCTGTTCTTCAAAATTTTTTGATTTTTGATGGCATGGTATAATGCACCATATTTCATTTAACTGTCTGAGGGTAAGAGCTGATATTTCTTTCCTTTGTTTGATTGCAGATGGACGTGGGTACCATCTACAGAGAGCCCCGTGAGTCATTTTCTCATCACCTTGGCAATATCCTTGGTTTTGGTTCAGGAGGCGCTTGGGGACATCCATTTGGGAGACTCATGTTTCCTCCTTGAGGGTTTTCATATTTAGAGGTGGAGTTCAATTTTGGAGATGAGAGCTACAGGAATGAAGAGAAGGCAGGCTCTCCTCTTCCAGGGAAAACAGGCCCTCAGGAAGGTCAGCCCCTCACCTGGGGCTCGGTCTGTCCAGTCAGGGGAGCTACGGAGGCCCCTCGCAAGGGTTGCTGGAGATTGGGCCACCTCACACAGGAGCAGGTCGTTTGGATGACAAGTCTAGGTTTTCTCCACACCTGTTTCTGCCCTGCTCTGGTCCCTCCTGAGAGGGAGGTGAATGATCTCTGGTCTGGCTTTGGCAGCCTCTCAAAGGGGTTTCTATTAACATTGCTGACTCGGGCCCACATGAACTTAAATGCTAGAATTTGAGCCCTGCTCCCATGTTCCAGTGGGTGAGTCCTTCACGTCCCTTAAGTGTAGTCCGCCCTGGACCCCTGGATGTGGTGGCAGATTTGGGCCCTTCTGGTTCTGTCATCACCAGTGCCTGTTGTCTCTCTTAGGACATGCCTATCTCAGGAAGTGGCTGCTACTCTCGGATCCTGATGATTTCTCTGCTGGGGCCAGAGGCTACCTGAAAGCCAGCCTTTGTGTGCTGGGGCCTGGAGATGAGTCACCAGTGAGTACCTTTCTCTGGGTCCTCCTCGTGGCACTTCCACCTGGTTGTAGAGGAACCAAACAAAGAAACAAGAACAACTTTAGTTTTTCTGGTGTAAAAGAATACCTGGTAATTATGAGATATGTGGAACAGGTGGGAAAGTAGAAATAAAAGATGAATCTCTCATAATTCTACCACTCAGAGAGAGCTGTTAATATCTTGTTTCATAGCCTCCCAGAAGGATATACCTGCGTATTTTTTCCTTTTTTATTATTTCTTAAATTGTGGTATAATTGACATATAGCATTATATTAGTTTCAGGTATACCACATGATTCAATATTTGTATACATTGCAAAATGACCACCACAATAAGTATTGTGGACATTTGTCACCATGCTTAGTTACAAAAAGCTTTTTTTCTTGTGATGAGGACATTTAAGATCTACTCTCTTAGCAACTTTCAAATATGCAATACAGTATTAACTATAGTCACTGTGTTGTACATTACATCCCAGGACTTAATTATATTATAGCTGGAAGTTTGTACCTTCTGACCTCCTTAACCCATTGCACCTCCTCCCCCACTGCCTCTGGTAACCATGGTAACCACCAATACCAATCTGTTGCATGTTTTTCTTTTTTTGTATAAGTGAGTTCATTCTCTCTATTGTACTGTAGCCTGGATTTTATTGCCTAAGAATTTAACATTATCATCTCTACAGGTAAGTACAGTGATAAGCTGGAGGAGGTAAGAGTGAGAAAGGTTTTTAGAATGGGGAGGTATCAGCATCTTTGCATATTTGGGAAGAAGAGAAAAAGGTTTGGAATAGTTGTGGAAGAGGAATGAGGGGTTCATTAGATATAAATAGGAGGACTTGTGACTGGCAGCTTTGTGGTGGAGCCTCATAATTAATGCTCAGTGGCCTCACAGAAGTGGGGTAGGTGGATGGTGGTGTGGGTCATGGCGAGGCAGGAGTGGCGGGTGCACAAGGACAGAGTAGCCAGGCCATCGACCTGGCTGAGGGCGCTTGACAGGGAGGCTGCAGGAATGCGGGGCCTAGAGCTAATGAGGGGACAAAGGCCAGCACAGAGCCAGGGAACCAGTGACTGAGCGCCTGCTGTGTGCCAGGTCTGTGTCAGGTGCCTCCCTCTGTGTGTGGGGGGGTTGGAGGAGGCAGATGGGTTGTAAGCTGTCTTCAGAGAAGGGTTTCAATGTCAAGTTTTGCTGAAGGAATGGTTCTGAATGGCTGGAGCTCCGAGATAAGGCCATGCCTCTAGCAGCTGGATGGGAGGGGTGTTGTTTAAGATTAAGGTGCTGTTGGTGGAGGAAGTGATCTGTGTTGGTGGATGTTGATTGTCTTACAAGAGAATGGAAATCAAACAGCCACACTGTGAGGCAGGTACTGAAATCATCAGGGGAAAGGTGAGCATGTGTCATCAGCTTGGTGGATGTTAGTGATGAGAACCAGAGTGAGAGCTGTCCATGTGTGTGGTGTGGACTCCCAGAAAGGAGGGGTGGCAGTGGGGGCCGCTGCAAGGTGTGGCCCTCTTCCAGCCTGGAATGGCCAGGAGAAGCGGGAGAGGAGGTGGGGAAAGCAGATCTCCAAGGGAAAGGGAGGGGGGGAGGTGGAGTTATCCAGGGAGCGCTGTGCGTCATCGTGCAGGCCGAGGGTAAGCTCCCTGACAATGCTAAGGATGAGTTGGCTGATGATGAGAGGTCAGGAAGCCACAGTGGAAAGGGTTAGAACAGGGAACACCGAGGGTGCTGTGTCCTGGGCCAATGGCATTTAGGTGGACAAGCCCACCCCAAGGGCATCTGTCCCTGCTCTCTCATCCCATGCAGTCCAGCCCTGCCCCACTGTAGCCCATCTCTCCAGACACTGCACCTTCTAGCTCCTTCTCTGTGACATCTCTGAATTTATTATCCCATTCTAAAATGCTGCTTCCTCCTCTTCTTCTCAGTTAGAACCTTGTTTTTCCCTGATGACGTCACTTCTCTTGGAACCACCTCAAAGGGAAGCCCCTGTTTTCTGCTCCTACTCCCTGTGGGGCTCTGGGAGGGGACGAGCAGCTGTCCTTTGGCTTCTCACTGCACTTTCCTGGACACAGCAGCCCTTCCCAGCTGCAGCGCTGCCTCCTCCTTTGAATGTGTCTTCACAGGCCACTTTGCCCTCTTCCACCTAGTCCCCCAGGCCATAGGCCTGAATTTCTTCCTTCATCCCTGGGGTCCACATCCATTAGTCCACATGCAAGCAATTGGCCAGTCTCGCTGGCAATGACAATCCCAGTGCAGGCTTCCTCCTTCCCATTCCAAGACCAGAGTCTGAGGTCAGGCTCCCATCTGTTTCACCTGGGCCTCTGTGTGAACTAAGATTCTCTGTTCAGCTGCAGTAACCCATGTGACAGGCACTCGGGGAGATAGGAGTTCATTGCTCTCATAAATGCTGGGGTAGGCAGTCCGGAATTGGCACAATGCTTTCACAATGATTGGAGACCTGGGTTCCTGGTCTTTGCTCGCAGCTTCATCTCGCAGCTTCATCTCGCAGCTTCTATTTCATGAGTTGAGATGTTGGCTCCAGTTACCATCATCACGTCTGTATTCCAGCCAGTGGAATGGAAGAAAATAACCTTGCTTAAGGGTTTGCTTTCCCTGCCAAATGGTGAGCTCCGTGGGGCAGGGCTTCCGTCTGCTCACTGCTGCATCCTTGCCCTTGAGCATGACGCTGACAGTAGTACTCAGTGAAAGCTTGTTGAGTTGATGACCCACCTAGACCTCAATCACTTCAGCACTTTCTTACTGGGAGGAGTGGGAAGGAAACTAAGATGCCCACTATGTGCCACCATGTGCATTTACATGTTATTGAAGTTGATTCTCCCAAAAGTCCATGAGGTTAGTATTGTCTTCACTCTCCAGATGAGGAAGCAGTCTCTGGGTAAGGAACCTGCCCAGGGTCACACAATAGTAAGTGGCAGGGCCAGATCTGCCTGTCTTCAAAATGTACCATCTAAGTGGTGTTGAATGAGGAAGGGGAGAGATCACTTTCAGAAATCATATTTGTTTGCATTGTAGCTGGAGAGAAAGGATCCCTCTGAAGACAAGGAGGACATCGAAGGCAACCTGCTCAGGCCGACTGGCGTGGCTCTTCGAGGAGCACACTTCTGCCTGAAGGTCTTCAGAGCCGAGGACTTACCACAGAGTGAGTCTAGAGTCCTCCTTAGGTCAGAGACCTCTATCATGAGCGGGGATCCTGGGCTGGACCATGTCAGCTCCCTGGGGGAATGGGGATGGAGGGCGGGCTCTCTGCTCCCTCCCTGCCTCTCTTGGGCCTGATTTCTCATTCCAAGGGTCTCCTAGATCAATGCCCAGCCCAACTCTGCCACTCTGTCCACTGAGGTAGGCTAAAACCCTTCTTAGGTTTTCCAAAGGAAAACAGTTCTTAACAGAAAAGCAAATAGAATTAGTGAAAAAAGTAATATAAATGCTGGTGGAGTTACAAAGATGCAAGAAATCTGGGGAGTAATCATTGCCCCTGGACTCCATTTCAGTGGTCCTAGGCCTGGTCTGGCTCTTTAGTGACTCCATAATCCCATTTTTTTGGCTCTCACTGGGGAGTCAGCATCATGTGGACCCCCTCCATTCTCCCCTCAGCACTGGATCTCATTGATTCTCCTTCCTGCAGTGAGGAAGCCCCAGACTGCAAGTTGGCAGATCCTGGGTCGGGGAAGCAGTTCCTGAAATGTTGGAAGGGCTCACTGTGTCCACAGATGAAGAACACTCATCTGCCAGGTGACCCACTGTGCCAATTTGCCTGGGATTCTCCTGGTTTTAGCACTGACAGTTTCAGTCAGTTGCTGGAAAACTGGCACAGTGGATCACCCTAACTGTGACCATGTCCTTACCCACCCCCAGAAAGGCCAGTGTGGTCAGTGCTTGGCTTCTTACAGTGGCTGACCCCATCCTGGCCCCATTCTGCCTGCTCTGTAAATGCTCTATAAATGCTGGGGGCGCTATATTGAATATTCTGGAGTCATGGATGTCAATCCAGGTTGCATACATGTCAGAGTCACCTGGGAGGGTTTGAAGGAGTACAGAAGCCTGGGTAACCCCTCCAGTGTTTCAGATGGACTTGTTCTGGGGTAGGGCTCACACATTGGTGGCTTTTAAAGGCTCCCCAGGTGGCTGGATGTGCTGTCTGCCATGAATCTCCGTTTTGGAACGGCATTAGCATAAACAAGCCAGTCTCTGTCCTTAGTGGATCAGTAAGAACATTTGCAGCTTGGCTCCTTGTTGACACGTTTTGCATAAAGAGAATTGCGGGTTTCTGCTTTGACTATTGACATCAGTAAATGAGCTGGGTTACTTCTGTACAAGCTTAATTGAATCCAAATCATGGGGAAAGGCTTTAAGTAAGGATTGGCTATTAAATAGGCATTAAAATACATACTTAAAACATTCTGCATTTACTGGTTGAAACTATGCAGAGGTGAGGCTGGTGAGCTCCCAAAGTGGGCTGAGGAAATAGACATGTTTGCTTTGCTTAAGGTGAAGGCACATTATGTTTAATTCTCTGCAATGTTCTTTAAATATAAATAAAACAAAATAGATGGGTAAATAGAACATAAATATTAACTAAGTGTTAACTGTTGTATTCATGTGGACATCAGCTAGGATATGATCTTTAATTGTCCCCTCCTCTCATTTTCATTCATATGTACATGTGCTTTTATATATAACCCATATATGTATACATACATATACATACATACTCACATATTTGTCTGTCTGTAAATACATAAGTAAATAAGATGGCCATTTCAATAAAACAGTGGTTTGGCGCAGCATAGACTAAAAATTATTTTTTTGAAAAACAGAATTGATTTATTGGTTAACCTCAAGTAAATCACTCCGTTAATGGATATAAAGGAAAATGTCAAATAGACACCAACAATGGGATATTATTAAACAACCTCCAGTCCCTTTTTATTTATTTTGTTTATTGCCCTTAAGGATGTAGATTTCTAATCAATCAATGAATCAATGAGTGGACCTGTTCAGAAAGGTTTTGAGAGCAAGGGGGTCAGGGAGCAAGTTGTCTGGGCTGGGGAAGCAGTGAGGTGCCCTAGGGAGCTGCTGTTCTGAGTTGGTCCTCCCTCCTGGGGGTCCCTGGTTGAGGGGTCCAGGAGCTCCTTTCAGGAGTTTTCAGTCCCACAGCAGCCTGGAGACAGACAGGCAGGAAGTCAGAGTTTTGGAGGCAAGACAGCAAGCAGGTAGTGACCAGTGTATCCTTCTTTCTAGTGGATGATGCTGTAATGGACAACGTGAAGCAGATCTTTGGCTTTGACAGTAACAAGAAGAACTTGGTGGATCCCTTCGTGGAAGTCAGTTTTGCAGGGAAAATGGTAGGAGCAAGGAAGTGGGAGGATTCTCATGGGAGGGTGACTACTGGGCCTGTGGATGGGTGCTGGGTGGGGTGTATACACACTGCCCTTGGTGTGCCCCCATCAGAAGGTGCCCAAGGATGGGGCTGATCGCAGGATGCCTGAGACACTCAGGCTCAACTCTGGGACTACTGTACCCACACATGTGAACGCATCTGCTCCAGGGGTCTGAGACATACACATAGGTGTGGGTAGGTATGGAGAGGACTGACAGACAGTGGATAGACAGAAGGATATTTGGGAGAAAATTAAGCAATAACATAGGAACCATACGTGAAGGTATAAAGAGATATTTTAAAAATATGTAAAAAAAATAATGATTTTTTAAAGAGTTGTGTCAGGAGTTGGGCAGAGAAAGCCCACTGTGGTGGGGGCCCTTGGGGTCACTCATATGTCTCCTCCTTGCAGCTCTCCTTCCTGCCCAGAGGTGGGGCTGTTGCTCTAGTCCCTGCTGACTGCCTGGGTTCCTTGCTCCATCTTACCAGGTGCAGGCTGGTGCTCCCCAGTGTCTGGCCCCCTTACCCACTTTCCCTGGCAGCCTCCGCCACTCCCAGGCTTCAGCCATCACCCCTCTACGGAGGACTCCCATGGCTCGATTTAACTCTGACCCCTCCCTTGAACCACCAACCTTCCCATGTCTCTGCACATCTCTATCTGATGCCCCTCAAGCTTTCAAAAGGAGTCACCTTCTGCCCCAACTTGCCCCACTTCTGGGAACCTCCATCCCAACCAAGTGCCACCCTCAAAGCCTGAAAGTGTGGGCCTGCCTTGATTCCTCCCTCTTTTTTAACCTCCTTACACCAAACACCCCTAGTTCTCAACCGCACAAATGACCAGAGGCCCATCCCTTCCCTGCCTCGACAGCCACTGCCGTCTCTTCCCAGGTCCATACAACAGCCTTGGGTCTGTCCTCTTGTCCGACTTCTCCCTATAGAATAATTACTCTAATTGGTCTAAGACACAGGCCTGGCTGTACAATTAAGTTCTCACATGACCTGGCTATCCAGGTCCTGTCCAGCCGAACTTTCTCCCTCATCTCCAGGTCCAGGATTAGCCCTATAGTCTTTGTGTGAGAATATAGCACCCTTACTGTGTGGATGCAGCTTTGCAGCCCCTCTTGGGGTGTGGGTTGTCTGGGGTTTCAGACACTGGTGCTCCCCCCAGGTGCCCTGTGTGGGTGCAAACTGCACTGCTCACATGGAGGCCTGTGTCCTCTTGTCATCGGTCCTGCCCCTCCTCTCTTTCCGTGGCCATACCTCCAGCCTTTGCCAGTGCCTGTGCACTCCCATGCTCTTCCTGGCCTTGCCCTCAACAAACTGTGTTGTATCTTTCAGTGTCCAGCTTCTGGTAATTCCCACAGGCCTGATGTATATAGTTCAGTCCTCAGGACTTCACAGCCTGCATGAATGTACAGCTCTCTTTTAGCCTATTTTCCACTGCATTCCAGTATTTGTCAGCATCTGCTTTTCCGACTTGTGGTCAAGAACCCAGTCCTTACTCCATAACCTCAGAGCAAAGACTGCAGTGGACATGGTGGAAAAATGACATATTTGGTGGGTACAAACTCTACCCTGGCTCCCAGGACCCTGGCGGGGAGCCTTTGGGCTTTGTTTAGACCCCAGGGAGCTGGCAGGGTGGGGTTGGGGCCCTGTTAGGTCCTGCCAGCCTTGTGGGGAGTCCCACCTGCTGCTGAACTGGGCTTGGGTGAGGTGTCAGAAGAGTTGAATGTGAACAGGAAAACTGGAGCAGAGGAGCACTGAGAATCTGAGTTGGGTGAGCAGAGGGTGGGCACCCTGCAGCTGGCTCCCACTTTCCTCTGGAGGCAGAGGTGAGGAGGGGGGAAAACAAGCGGCAGGCATACAGCACAGCTGGAGAGGAGCTTCAAAAAGGAACTGTGAACACAGGCAACAGCAGCGGTGGAAGCGGTGTGGGTTCCCATTCACATAACGTTTTGCGGTTTTCTTTTCACTTGATCGCTTCTTAGACTCATTTTGAAAAGAAGCAGGGTCTCCAGTGCATCCCACCAACAAAGCGATGCCCTGAGGTTGGGGGAAGGAGCCTGGTGGCCAAGGGAGGTCCTGCCCAGTGCCCAGACTTCCTTTCTTCCCCCTCTTTAGTGTTTCTTTTCTTCTATAATTATTGATGCATGTATTTACTTAGAAATTTTGAAAAATGCAGTAAAAACTAAATAAAATTACCCTTAACACACCATACAAAGTTCATTTTTGGTGCCTAGTTTCCCAGTTTTTTTTCTATGTATAGATAATAGATATTTTTTCCCAACTCTTTATTTTGAATATTTTAGAACAAAGAAAAGGTTAAAGAGCAATTCAGTGACTACCTACCCATTGTTGTGGCCTCCATTTAGATTACACAATTGCTAACATTTGCTACATTGACTTTCTCTCTCTCTACATATATATTTATTTTCTTTTGTTTCTGGATGAATTATTTGAAACCTACTTGCAGACTTTACCCCTAAAGACTTCAGGATGCATCTCCCGGGGAAAAGAAAATTGTTTGTGACCACATTAACATGATCCCAGCTAGATGAACAATTATTCCCTAATGTCAGATGCTGGCTCATATACATTTTCTCTAATTATCCCCCAAATGTCTTTTAGCTCTGGCTTAGTTTTGTTCTAAGCCCAATAGGAATTCATGCTCTGCATTTGGCGTACACACACACACACACACACACACACACACACACACACGCGCGCGCGCGCGCCTCGGTTTTTTATCACAGGACTGAATTTTTGAAAAGCCCAGGTCATTTGTTCATGCTCTGGGTTTGTCCAATTGTTTCCTTATAGTGTTGTTTAACTTGCTTCTCTAGCCCCTATATTTCCTATAAATTGGAAGTTAAGTCTTTAGACCAGATTAGATTCAGAAGAAGTATTTAGGCAAGTACCCATCACAGGCAGTGTTCTGTATATCATATTGCATCAGACCAGGAAGCAGTATAATGGCAGGTTGTCCTGTCATTGGTACGGATTGTCTGAGCATTTGGTTAGGATGGTGGCTCCAGATCTCCCTCTTGTCAGACTCCATGCTCCCCTTTGTCGTTTGTAAGTCATCTGGGGGCCGAATCTGGACGTGGAGTGGATATCCTGTTTTCCAGCAACCTCTTCCTCTTACCTACTGGCCTGTGCAGCCTTGACCTCCTTGCCCGAACAAGGCATATACTGGGTTTGCAAAGTGGTGATTTTCTTATCGTCATTCCTTCTCTCTTTATTAGCGGGTGTTTTTCTGGGAAGAGGAGCTTTCCTCCTCTGCTGCCCCTTTGAGCATTTCTATAGTCCTCAATACTTTTTATTAATTCCATGTGTTAACATCAGTCATTACTGTGTGGGACATGTGAACTGTCATGAAGTTGGAACCTCTTCAAGTTGGCTTCTCCATCCCTGAGACTCAGGGTCTCCCTGAAAATGCATGTGGGAGAGGTAACTCAGCTTTTAGCTCTTTCGCACAGAGGCATGCGTGTTTCCTGCGGATCCTTACTCATATGCAGTGCTGGTTCAGGCTTGGATCAGGGTCTCCTGACTGTGCCTGGCCTTGGGAGGGACTGTCCCAGGATGAACGAAGGCAGGAAGGAAGTGGGAAGGTGTGGTCAGACAGTCTTGCAGAATACCTACTCCAGTGACTGGGATCAGTTTCCCCAATCTGACAGATAGGGAAGGTCGTGTCTTGAGATTGTGTTTATTCCACATTCCCAAACATGTATGGTGCTTGGATGGCCACAAGAACCAAGGCGGACCTACCTTCAAATTGCACGGCCTCCCTGGAGCTCAGTCACAGAGCTCTGGGGCTCCTGGCTGCTCCTGGGTCCTGGCCAGTACCTGGATCTCCTTTGGTCTCCTGTTCTCAGGTGCCCTTGGCTGGCTCTTGCCTTTTCCCCTCGGTAGGTGCAAATGTCTGTGGCAGGTGATAGAGGTAGGAGGCCTGGCCAAAGCAAGGGATTCTATAAAGGTGAGTGGGCTCCTGCCTTTCCCTCTAGAAGGAAGGGGCTTTTCATGTAAGAGGCAGTTGAGACCCTCTCTTTTGAAAGCCTCTGCCTGGCTGGCCTCCTCCGGGGGTCTTCATTTGTCTGTGTTCCCTTCTCTCTCCCCTAGCCACCTGTTGTGGCCTCCCCCCATTCTCCCTGTGGCCAGTCTCTCTCAGCCTGTGTCACTATTTCTCCCTCCATCCTAATCTGAAGGGCCCTGGTTTTTGTCCTCTGTGTGCCCCCTGCCTGTCTGGCCCTCTGCATTTTGTCAGTGGACACTTGGTGGCACTACTGTCTAAGGCCTGCAGCATACCTGATCTGGCCAAGCTGCTAAGAGGATAGAGAGAGAGAGAGAGAGAGAGAGAGAGAGAGAGAGAGATGAAGGGCCCTGGTTTTTGTCCTCTGTGTGCCCCCTGCCTGTCTGGCCCTCTGCATTTTGTCAGTGGACACTTGGTGGCACTACTGTCTAAGGCCTGCAGCATACCTGATCTGGCCAAGCTGCTAAGAGGATAGAGAGAGAGAGAGAGAGAGAGAGAGAGAGAGAGAGAGAGAGAGCGTGCATGTGCGACTGTGTGTCACCTCTTGGTGAGGTGATATAGGAGAGGGGAAGGGGAAACTTAGAGGGCAGGCAGGGTGGGACACTTTGAAACAACTTTGTTTTCTGAATGCCAGAATAAAAGCTAATAACTGTAAAACAAAACTTGAAAAAAATCAGAGAAAACTGAGAAAAGTGAAAGCAATGAAGCATATTTCTGTACCCCATGCGGCTGACATTTGAGTGTGTTTCCTTCTGCTCTCTCTCCCAGCCCTCTCTCTGCTCCCCACTCCCCAGAAAAATAATTGAGTTTAGAGTATAGTTGGTCTTCATTATTTGTGGATTCCATATTTGCAAATCCACCTACTCATTCAAATTTATTTGTAACCCCCAAATTAGTACTCATGGTAGTTCTGTGATAATTTATTTACTATGCAGAGTGGTGAAAAATTTGAGCTGGCCTACCATGCACTGGTCCCAGCTGGGTTGGGACAATGTGACAATGTTCTTTTTGCTTCCATTCTCATTCTGAAAAAGTTTCCCTTTTCTCGGTCTACTTAATGTCATGTCTTTTGCATTTTTTTGCTTTTATTGGTGACTTCCCTGTTTGATATGGCCCCTGAGTGTAGTGTCAAGTGTGGTCTAGTGCTCCTAACTGCAAACATACTGTGATGTGCTGTAGGGAGAAAATACATGTTAGATGGACATCATGGGAGCCTGTGTTACAGTGCTGCTGGCCTTGAGTTTGGTGTTAATGTATCATATATATTAAACAAGATGTCTTTAAACAGAAACACACATGACACAGGTTGCTTATTGATCAGGTGATGAAAATGTGACAGGGGCTGGCAGGAATCTAACCCTGTAGTTCCTCTAAGAATAATGGTTCTGTATCCCTATTTCAGTGTTCTTGGTGATTTTCACAACATGTAACTGCCAGCAATAATGGCAATCAATTGTAACTATGCAGTCTGGCAAATGGCTTTTATTATCTAATATTTCCTTGGGTTAGTAAAGAGCCTTTGACATCAATTTTTTGATGACTGCATAATATTCCATTAAATGAATATGATACAACATTTAAGCTATTTTTGGATAATTTTTGTTTTTGTTGCAAATTTCTTCTATTATAAACAACTGAGAGCTCAGTGTACAAGGATCTTTGTCCACACTCTGCGTTTCCACAGGGAAGTTTCTAGAACTGGGTAGAGGGCATGCTTATTGTCAAGTATTTGATAGAGATGGCCAGATAACCCTCCAGAAAACTTGTACTAATTACACTCCATCAGAAGTGAAGGAAGGTTAAGAAACAAAAAAAGGCATAGCGAAGAGGAGGAGGAGGAGGAGGAAGGGTCGACAGCAGCTGGGTGCTGGCTTTTGGGGAGTGGGGAGTGGAACGGTGTGTGGGAAGGTGGGGACTTCTAGGGTGAGGGGCAGTGCTGGCCTGGGGTTTGGCAGGGGGCCTCTGTGTTCAGGCTCCCAGACCCATGTCCCAGGGCTCTTTTGGAGGGTGGGCAGGCGGAAGTGCTTGCCGTGGAGGAGGCCTTTGGCTCCCTGGGACCAGGGCTGAAGCAGGCTCTCTGTGCCTTGCTCCTTGGAGTGTGGGGACAACCTGTGCCTCTGGTTCCAGGGAGCTGAGGCACAATGTTGGCAGGACCTCTTGCTGTGTCTAGTTAAAGAGTCCTTTCTTTTCCTTTTATTTTAAAATTTTGTTCATCCAATTTTTGAATTAGGTAATACATTTATTATATACACCATATGCATCTATCTATTATGCATCTGTCTGTCATCTACCTATCTGCCTGTCTATCATCTATTATCTGTTACAAAAACTCTCCCTCTTGCCCTGTACCCATTCGACAGCCCATCCACTCATTTACTCCTGTGCACAGGTAACTACTACAGTTTGTTTTGTATCATTCTGTTCTATTATGCATGTGCAAAGCAAGTCTTACCTTAGCTCACCATTCTTATCACTTACCCTCTGAACACTGATTGTTGTACATTATACTCACTGCTCTGCACCTTGCTGTTTTTTCCCCCTTTATTCCTAGTTTTATTGAGATATAATTGACACCTAGCACTGTATAAATGCAAGGCATTCAGCTTAATGACTTGACGAACATTTATTGTGAAATGATTGCATCATAAATTTAGTTAATATCCATCATCTCATATAACGGCCAAAAATAAAAAGAAAGAAAAAAATGGATTTTTCTACTCTCTTAACAGCTTTCAAACACTGTCCAGTAGTGTTAGCTACAGTTGCCATGCTATATATTCCATCCCCAGGACTTTGCTACTTCAGTTAGCCATGTAACTTGGAGATTGTTTCATGTCATAGAGCAGTCCTTATTCTTTTTAGGGCTGCATAGCACCCCATTGTGTGTTGGAGTCTAATTTATTCAGCTTGTCCTCTGTTAGGTTGAACATCGAGGTTGTTCCAAATCCTTGCCTGTTCATGCTGCAGTGAATAACCTCAAATGTGTGTCATTCTGCACACATGAAAGTGCTTCTGTAGGATAAATGTTGAGTGGTAGAAGTGGTAGGCCAAATAGTATTTGCATTTGTAATTTTGACAGGTAGTAGCCAATTACCCTCTAGAGGAATAGAGCTATTTTGTTTTTCTACCAGCAAAATATGAGTGCAATTTCCCTAGGTCTTGCCAGCAGAGGGCTGTCAGACTTTAGAGATTTTTATGAATCTACTGGATGAGAAGTAGTATCTCAGTTTTATTTGTATTTATTTAGTTAGGAGGAATGTTGAACATCTTTTTACATGTGTTATAATCCTTTGTGTGTGTCTGTTCCACCCACTGCCCCACTGTTCCATCTGATTGTCAGCCTCTCCTTACCCCTTTTTATGCTAACACAAGGGGTAAGTCCTAGCACCCACCCCTGCCCCAGCCTTTGCCTGGGCTCTTTTCAAAGGGAGGGGGTTATGGTGGGTCAGGGGCTGGCACTGGGTGGACGAGGAATGGAGACAAAGTCCTGGCCTCCGTGAAGGCCGCACCTTCATTTGATGGAGGAACTGAAGCCCCTGGCCCAAAGCTCAGTAAATGAGATAGTGCACATAAAATGTTGAGGACAATGTAGGGCACAGAGTAAAGGCTCTGAAAATGGCTGTGCAAATGCAAACCTACCAGGATCTGTGTCTGAACTGGAGTCTACCTGCTGTCCCATGTATAGGACTTCCTGTACCCTGGGGCTGGCTAGGGTCTGCTGCCTTCCAAGGGACTCCAAGGGCAGAGTAGAGCACAGAAGCCTCTGGAACCAATCTGGTTTCCACCTCTGCTATGTTTCTTGTTTGTGGAAAGTCCAGTCTTCAGAAAGGGCTGATCTGAAGTAGACTATAGATTATGGGGTTTATACCTTCATGGAATCTTCCTCTCCTTCTCACATACCAGGTGTGCAGCCCCCAGCCCTGGCCCCACAGCTGTCTCCTCCCTTCCCCAACTTATCTCTGATCTCCCAGGGCTCACAGTCTGTCAAAGGGCAGGTGATCTGGGGAGTGCCTCAGGCTGTAGGGCTCTTGGAGAAGCCAGTCTGGACTCAGGGTCCCCACATTTAGGGTCATGGCCATAATGGGGGGGAGGGGCATTCCCCCCAGGGTAAGAGAGAAGGGTAGAAGGGCTGTGACATGCAGGTAATCTGAATTGAACCCCCTACCACTGAGCTTTTTCTCTGCAAAGATTCCTGTGTCTGTCCACACACCCCAAGGCCCCAGGGTCTTCTGCCCAGACCAAAGTCTGGCCAGCATAGCAGAGAACAGCTGCTGCTGTTGTGGTGGTCCCCAAGGGAGCCCGGAGTCTCTATGGAGTTCCAGGTACCTACCCTTTGTCTTCTAGCTCTGCAGCAAGATCCTGGAGAAGACAGCCAACCCTCAGTGGAACCAGAGCATCACACTGCCTGCCATGGTGAGCCTCAACCCCCATATCCTGCCCGTATCCTGGACTTCTGCTTCTGAGAATACAGGCTTTGGGAAGCAGCAGGCTTGGGGTGCAGCCTGGCCTCTGCTGCTTCCCAGCTGTCACCTTGGACAGCTTGTCTCTCTTCCCTCCTTAGTTCCCATCCATGTGTGAAAAAATGAGGATTCGCGTCATAGACTGGTGAGTTCTGAGTCTTGGGGTCTTTAGAAGTAGCTGTCCTAAGGGTCACTGGGTCCTTTGGTTTCCTTCAGTTCAGTCTGCACATGGTGGGAGAGTCTGCTCCAGGCAAGTGGTCAACTGTGGAGGAGGCCAGAGAAGGAGAGGGTGTGGGCTGTTCTCAGGAAGCTTGCTCAGCCCTGTCTGAGATAGACAGGAGGGCACCAGGTGTGGGAGGGCTCCAGGAACCCGAGTACCCTAGGGCAAAAGTCCAGGCAGGCTTCCTGGAGGAGGTGGGGTTTTGATAAGGCCAGGGTGGGGATATTCCTATGAGGAGAAGAAAGAAGCAAAGGCAAGGAGGCTGGAAGGGGCAGAGCTTCTGGGAGGATGGGCTGTCATGTCCTGTGGATTGGTAGAACAGGAAGGAAGGGCGCCCGGGCTGGGGAAGTGGGTCAGGCTGCCCGAGCAGAGGATGCCACTGCAGGCTTTGAACAAGAGAGGGCAACAGCCACACGGACATCTTAGAAAAGTAGTCTAATACTTACTGAATGCCTGTTGTGTGCCAGGCCCCGTGACCAGCAAGTATGCACATGCCCCATCTCCCCTGGCCCCCACAGGGACTCCCGGCACACTCCTGTGTTACAGGTGAGGGTAGGTCTGCAAAGACTGAGTGACTAGTGTCTGCGGGGACGGCCGGGAAGCAGCAGAGGCCAGGCTGCACCCCAAGCCTGCTGCTTCCCAAAGCCCGTGATCTTAACCACTGGGCTGTCTGCCTCCTGCTATATTGACATGGTCTATCTCACCCCTGAGGGACTGTTCTGGGTCCACACACGGTATCTCCTGGACCTTCCATACACCAGGTTTTCCAAAAAGAGAAAGTTGGCCTTTCTGTGCCCCAGAAAGTCTTGGCTGTGTGGTTCCCAGTGTGTTCTCCTTTGGTCTCAGGCCCATGGCACCCCCTAGCCAGGAGGATAATGAAAGACTAGGGAAAACCCCCAGGCCACAGAGCCATTAAAGTGTGTGCCAATGCCTCAGGCTGAACGAGAACAGCTTGTGAGAATTAGAGGTGAGGACGGGAGCAGGGAGGCCAGGAGGGAGAGGCATCCAGGGCCCTGACCATGGTTTGTTTCTCGGGGAAGCGGTCTCCGGGAGAGATGTGCCTTCAGTCCCCGGAACCATCTCCTCATCTCAGCTTGCAGGGCGTGGTGTGCACAGACTCACTGCGTTGACTGGGGATGATTGTGCGTTTCTGTGTGTCTGCACATGTGGACTTGTGTGTTTACAGGTGTGGTTGTCCCGTGTATTGTGGGTGGGCCTTGCCTGAGTCCATGTGAGCTGTGTCAAAAGGCATCAGCATACTGTACAATCCAAACACATGACGGAATCTGGTAGCTGCCTCTCTGGTTTGGGTTGAATTGGCATTTTTATTGTGAGTCTATTTTCAGACTTGCTGTATTTTCCAAAAGTAACCCCAAGCCCTAAAACCAAACTCTGACCAGAAAGCATTCTGTTACTGCGAGGTCCTATTGAAAAAAGTGCTTTCTTCCCAGAAAACTCAGATAAACTTTTATTATTACATGAATCCTGGAAATATAATACAGTCCATATGGCCTTTTCTCTGTAACTTAGTCGTCCATTAAATTCTTTAAAAATTTCTTTTTCATTAAAAATGAAAACCTTGGAAGAATACCCTCCTCCCTCCCCCATAAAAGCCAAAACTTCTCTCCTTCCATTTTCTTTCCTTCCTCACCTGATTCCATTAAGACGAGAGGTCCGAAATCCCATTCCTCTCCAAGTGCTCATTTTTTCAATGGGTTGGACATGAAGACAGTTAAAAAATGCCATCAACTGTCAGTTATCTGGTGTAGAAATGTCACTGTAAAACATTTAAGGAAATTTTTACTTTCCAGTTTTTATTAATGTCATTCACCAGGGAAAATAAAGATCTGTGCTGACAATTCACCCTTCCTAATGATGGAAAATAAAATAGAAGTTTAATCACCTTCCTGGCAAATACAGAAAGGTTGAAGGGAGCAGCAGTTATTGGATATCTTATGGGTTTGGAATTTAAAGGAAAAAACACTCACCATGCCCAGGTGTGCCTTTCACAATGGGGCCCCGGTGTATCATTGCCTGAAGCTGCCTGTAGTCCAAGTGGGCACAGCAGGGTGAGAGGGGCTACAGAAGAGGGAAAATGCATGCTAGGAAGCTTCTGGAAGGAGATAGGTCTTGCCCCATCCAGTGTTTCTCAACCTCAGCACTATGACAGTCTGGACCAGAAAATTCGTTGCTGTGGGAGACCGTCCTGAGTGGTGTAGGAAGTTCAGCAGCAGCCATGCCGTTCTCTCCCATGCCCCTCCATATCGAAAATGTGTCCAGACATTGCCAAATGTCCTTGGGAACCAAAATCCCTGGATTGAAAACTCCTGGTCTAGCCTAATTAGGAAGCAGTAGGTTGTTGCAGTCAAAGCTCTGGCTTCCATGTCAGGCATATCTGGTTCAGATTCCAGCTTTACCATCTTGGCAACCTCAGCTTCCTTATCTGAAATTGGTGCTCACTGCCATGCCTGCCTCATAGGTGTAAGGCATGGAGGGAGAGTCTGCACAGGACATGGTTGGCTAATGGGCTCGGAAAGCAGTTAGTCTCCTGGAATTCCTCCCCGCAGTCCCCTACGCTAGTTAGCGAGGGGAGAAGCATTCCTCCTGGCACAGATGGGCACTGGACCAGGGGTCAGGACACCAGGGCTTCAGTTCTGGCTCTGCCCCTCCTTTCCAGTCTGACTGTGGGCAAGGGTCCGCCAGCTCTGAGCCTCAGTATCCTCACCTGTGCAGTGCAGATGATAATAAGAGCACCTGTTCCTCAAGGCTGTTGAGAGGATCCTTTGAGATTAAGAAGATTAAGAGTGCTTTGTCACATATAAAGTCAGATACAAAAAAAATATGCATTAGCTACTATAAGTTGATTAAAATCATGGTCCTGGTGATAGTTTCTTTCTGGTCAACTAGTTTTCGCCTTAGTCTGAATATTTCTTAAGCTCCTGAAACCTTGCTCTCCTTGGGTCCGGGGCCTGACTCCCTGAGTGGCCTCCGGCTCCCCAGCTTTGCCTCCTGCCTCTGGCCTCCTCCCTCTCAACCTGCCAATGTGATCGCAGACATCCAGGCTGGCAGCCCTGCATTGGCTGCTGATGGGAAGTCGGGTGCTGGCGAGATGGACTAGTTCACTCCAGAGGAGTCTTGAGCAATATTTTCTTTCCAGTCTCTTCTTCCCTAGGAATACCAGGCCTCAGTAACCCACCCGGACTGAAGACTTAGACTTCTAATGATACATATAACTGAAGCCATTTTTCCTTCCTGCATGGGCTGGGGCTGGGGATCCACCTCCCGTGCGCAGACCCTCTCCACCCCCTTGCTCTAGGGACCGCCTCACCCACAATGACATTGTGGCCACCACCTACCTGAGTATGTCCAAGATCTCTGCCCCTGGAGGACAAATAGAAGGTAAGTTCTCCCTTTGTTCTGCCCTCTGGTCCCTGACACTCTCCCTTGTCCCACTCCTACTTGTTTACAACTTCAGTGTTGAGATTTTGTGGAAAAGGGAAGATTATAATGTCTTTACTGTCCATTTTCTGTGGAGAAGGGCTCTGGACAAAGAGACAGACAGGCTTGCGAACATTAGGATTATCCCCACCTTGGATGGTGGGATACACCACTGAATGGTTCAGGGGAAAATCCACTCCTGCAGGTAACACTGGGGGCTACCACCATGCCGTCCACTGGGTGCTGTGTTCCCTGATGATGATGCTCTTGCAGTTTCTATTTTGAAGTAGCTTTCATTGATCTAGTAAAAAGTAAGCCATGATCATTTTGGAAGATTTAAAAAAGATAGTAAATAGTAAAGAATATAAAATTCACCTACAAAATTACCCATACACCACCCCACACTCCAAACTATGAATACCCTGGGACTTTTCTGTGCATATGTATATCCGTGTACATGCATGCATATGTATATATATATATATATATTTATATATATGTACACACATTAAAAACTGTTTCAAAGCAAATGTTTTGAAAACTGCTTTTTGTCACTTGTTCATACAACGTATTTGTCTATTCATGTTATTAAATATTCTTCTATAATCAATTTTAAACAAATACACATATTCTGCTATATGAATGTGCTATAATCCACATTAACTAGTTAGTGTTGAATTTTTAGGTGTTTCCTAATTTTTCTACATTATAAACAATTAGTTTTATATTGAATATTTTTGTAGCTGAAACTTTACATAATTTATGAATTTCCTTCTGGTTAAATACCTAGATGTGGAATTGTTGTGTCAAAGAATTTGAAAAACTTGAAACTTTTGGTGTATATCAAAATTGCTTTTCAAAAAGCCTGGGCTGATTTACTGTCTGATTACTCACATAAGCTTATCTTGCTGTACCCTCCCTGGCAGAGGCTGAAATAATAATATTAAAAAAGAATTTTGTGAGTCTGATGAGTGAATTTCACTGTTGCCTTAATTTTCATTTCACTAATAGCTGGTGAAGTTGACCAATGCAAGTTAAAAAATATTTTAATAATTATTTTATATTTACATATTACATATATTTGCATAATTTATTATGTTGCAAATTGCCAATTCATTGTCTTGGTCCATATTACTGATAGCATGTTTGTCTTTTTCTCATTGTTTTGTGAGAGTTCTGTATGTATATGGTGTTAACTTTCCCCTGTTATACATGTGGTAAATTTTGTCAGTTTTATGTTATCATTTAGTAATTTTTGATATATAGAAATTTAAAATTTTTATGTAGTCAAATCTGTTAATCTTTCCTTAGTGAATAAGGCAAGGATCTAACAGTACTTTTTTTCAAAATTATTCTTTGGTGACACCAACACTATATGTTGAATAATCATTTCCCTATGTCTTGAAATGTCACCTTTATCCCCCACTAAATTCCTAAATGTGTTCTTGGGTCTTTTTCTTGATTTTTCCATTATCTTTAATTGGTATGTCTGCTTGTTACTACTTAGGTTTTGGTATCTGGATTATGCTGGCTCTGTAAAATCAATTGAAAAAGTTTAAAGTCTTCTAACATCTGGAGCAGTTTATATAATATAAGAATATAGTCTTTTGAGGGTTTGAAAGAATTCACCCATAAAACCATATGGGCTGGGTGCCCTTTTGAGTGGTTATAGTACTAGCTCTTTAAAAACTTTCAGTTTCTTCTGTGATCATTGTTATTTTTTGTTTGTTACTTTTATTATAGTCAATTTTGATACTTTATGTTTTCCTAGTAAAGCATTCATTACATTGAGGTGTTCTAATTTATTTACATAGTGTTGTACAGAGCAATCTTTTATAATTTAAACAATTCTGTCTACCTGTGATATTTCCCCCTTTTCTATTTCTAATATTATCTGTTTGAGTTTACTTGCTTTTTTCCTTGGTTAGCCTTGTTAGAAGTTTGATTTTTTTCCCCCTATTTTATTGGAATTTTCAAAGGATCAGCCTTTGGAGTTATTTATCAATTCTAATATTTTTTCTTTCCTAACTTTTTATTCTCTCATCTTTAACTCTTTTAGATTTCTTTTTGAATTTTCTAATTAACTTTTTGTGCCTTTTTTCAAAATTTCTCATTTAAATAATGATATGGTTTCTTGCCCTATATGTCATGCTTATGGCTTTCAGCAAACCACAAGGTCATATTTAATTCTATTTTAAAAGGTTTTTTTACACTTAAATATTAAGTCTATTTTGAATTTATTTTGGTGTACTTTCTGAGAGCAGTCTGATTTGATTCATTTGTAGGTAGTCTTATTTCTTCTGACTAGATGCTGCTTGTAGGCATGTTTCTTTTTTCTTATAGTTTAAAAATTACTTTGATATATTGAGGTGCAGGACTCAGTTTGTTGAATTTTGTCTTAAGACACATTGAATTCTTAAATCTGACTTGAGAGAACGTTTCTTTCATTCTCACACTGTAGCATGACCAGCTGCAGGCAGGGTGGCATGGCAATAAAAGCAGGAGCCCTACTTCTTTGTAGCTGAGGGAATTGCTCCAGTCTCCTCCTACCAGCCTCAACCTCATAAGATTGTGGTAAGGATCTAGTGAGATTATACATGTAAATTCTTAGAGTGTCTGGTACACAATAAACCCTAAAGTAACATTGGCTGTTTGGTATCACTATTATTGACTTTCTGCATCACTAATCTGATTGTTTTTTTTCTGTATGAATTCTCTCTTTTTACTGCCTCCCATGTGGTTTAAAATTGGCTATTGCATTTTTAGTTTCTTGTCACACCTTCTTTTGACTGTCAGTTCTTTTACATTTTTTCTTTTCCTTTTTGTTCTCTGGCAGAGGTTTTGCTTTGTTCCATGGAAGCTATGTCTTCTGACACTCTATTGAGGATACCTTATCATTTCCCGAGCATTTCAGACGAATGCCTTCCTGCGCCTTACAGATGCTATTTCCCTATTCGGTGGGCACTCTGTCATTCCTCCCTCTTTTATTCACTTTCAACAAGATTTGTTCAGTGTTGATGTCTTTCTACAGACAGAATGTGTGGGTTTCTGTCTATCCATATTGTCAGATGTTTACCTGGAAGGCAGGTTAATGTGCCCGGTTTCTGTAAGACTCCACCTAGTGCTCTTGAAATGGACTACTCCCTTCTGAGTTCTCTGAAACATTAGAAAAGAAACTTTTAATATAGAAAATTTAAACACATCAAAATAAAGAATTGTACAGTGAACCCTCAGGTGCTCTCACTCAGCTTTAGCATCTAGCTGCCCTCTGCCATTCTGATTTCATCAATGATACTTTTAATTGATGGAATACACAAAATCTGCCTTCCAGAAGGCACTGTTACTGGGGCTCCTTCAGCCTCAGCCCTTCCGCCTCCTAACAGGTGCAGTCTGCCTTCTCTAATGATGTTCAGGTAATTTCTGAGAATGGCTGTCTTGGATGTAGATGAAACATGTGATATGGGGGGCAGTGAATCATGAGGGTGGGGTGGGAGAGAGGGTATGCTGGCTCTCTCGTAGATGGGAGCTCTTGGGATGCAAGGACTCTCCTGCAGTTTTCTGACTGGTGCTGTCCCGTCTCTGAATCCAATGACAGACCCTGGTAGAAACCGAGCGACCTTCTGTTTTCCAATAGCCTCTGTTTCATGAGAACACAGCTATGCCCGCCATCAGCAGTCAAAGGGAGAGTTCGTATCCCTGTCCCCATCAGCCTGAATTTCTGGTGGTGAAGTTGGCCTTGATCTTTTTCAGGGTCATTATGAATATTCTAATGGCAAAGTGAGAGAGGCGTTTCCTCGGCCACTAGATGGCGCTCAGGTCATGGGTAACAGGGTATGGTTCAGGGAAACGCGGAAAGGTCTGCTCACTGTCTCCGTAGATTGTTGTGCAAATATGGGAGAATCTTGCAACCAGCTAACCAGTTTTCAGTGTGTTGTGAAAGCTTGATCTCTGTAACAATTAAAGAGTTACACTTACTGTTCAAATGATGTCCCTTCCCTCAGAGGTGCGTCCCTCTCTGAGGCCCTGAGGGTTAGGTTAGCACTTGTCCCGTGCCCTGCCACACTTCTCCCACTTGTCCCGAGGCCACCCCAGAACTTGCCCTCTGACTCTACTTTCAGCTGTTTGTTATTTCTTCTTCACATTGGAGGGGTCTAGCACACCTGGGCAAAGCACAACACTCTATTTCCTCACCACTTTCAAGACCCAAACTAAACTGAACCATAAAAACGGGCTTTCTTTATATTTCCCTGCCTCCTGGGTTCACCAGATTTTTTGGTCCGACCAGGAGTTTTTGTTTTCATATTTCTGTTTTTATTTCCAGTGAGGACAGGCCCTAACACTAGCCTCTTAAGCACTTCTGCCCACAAGTTTTCCTGGGCACACCTAAGTGTTCCTTGGACCCTGCGTTCCAAAGCATTTAGTAAAAATTTTGTGTTCTGAAAAGGAGTGCTTTGCTTAGAAGCCACAGTTCTTTCAAAAGGTGACAGGCACCAGAGACCCTGAAACTCACGCAGATTCTTTTAGAACTTTATATGTTTGAAAATGAAATCTTTGGAACATCAATGGCAATGACCTCCCAGCAGTTCCCGGTTTTTGCCTCCTGGCATGGGCTGGTGTCAGGCACCCAAACAGCAGGTGTAGGAGGTGTGCTGAGAGGCAGAGGAGCCAGCAGGGCTGGCTGCAGGTAATGGCCTCAGCTCCTCCAGGAGCAGACACGGGTGTCCCCGAGGACGGCCTGCGGGGCTGTGACGAGTGGCTCACTGGGCTTCGGCCCTGCTTACGGTCTCCTCCAGTTCCCCCAGGTGAGGGAGCTGGACTTGGCTGCCCAGGCCTCAGAACTGGGAACATTCACCTGTGTTTTGGGGGCTTTCACAGCCCCAGTTCCCTGAGCTTAGGGAAAACACACTGAAACACTTGTGTTTTGGCAGAAGGTGACGAGGACTCAACAGAGGCTTGGGTGGCTTCACTGGTCACTTTGCCCTTGACTTTATGAGCTGTCTGCAGGCATAAGGGAGAGAACCTGGGTGCTCCTCAGCATGTGGAGACCTGTGACCCTGCCCCCGAATCAGGAATCATTAGCCTAAGTTGTCCGCATAGCCATGTCTTACGAGGTGCCTAGCGTTGTCCCTGGTTAGGTTTGCTAAACAAATGAAGGAATGAAGGGAAGAATTAATGAAAGGTGCAATTGGGAAATAGGCTACTCTGCAGCCCCCAGTTGGCCCCCGTAGCCACCAGAGGTGTGTGTCAGTTAATGGCTGTTGGGATTCGGGGGGCATCTGGGTCTGGGCTGGGTACCAGTATGCAGCCAGGATTCAGAGTTGGTCTGTGGGTGGGAAGCTGAGTTTGTCTCTGCAAGAAGCATTGGGTGTGGGGGCTTCGGAACTCTGACCTTGGCCTCATTAGCTCGAGTTAACTGGCCAAGCCTGTTTGTAATCATTTGGAATGAGCTTGAAATGGACTCTGTTTCCTTCCGGTGGGCCCTGACCGTGCTCTCCTCGGGCTGCAGCTGTGCCATGCTGAGCCTCTGGCTGCTGCTGAGAGCTCCCCTATGGCCAGAGGACTGGCTCCCCCGCCAATGAAAACCTGTTTCTGTGGATGTGAAAGTAGCCATCAATTATGGTTTCTTCAGCCCCAACTTCTGCCAGCTGGTATTCCAAGCTGAGGCCTGGCTGAGGAGAGCTGAAGGGCTGGGTCCCAGGGCCTCAGGCCCCCTGAAGCTGGGTCTCACCTTCCTCGCTTCTGCTCCCATCGGTCAGTCCTGTCTTCATAGCCAGACTTCATGTTGCCTTCTCTCTCCTTCTCTGTGTCTCTGCTCATTCTTCCTTCACAATGTTTTGGTTTACTCTTGGCTCTTAATTGCAACCATGGAAAATACAGTGGGAAAATAGTCATAGGTGTTTTTTCTTTTTTAAGGAGACCAATAGGTAAAGGTGACCAATGAATGAGAATAATCAGGGATTTCACCAATCATATCTATAGGCTTGGTCACACCCCCAGACTTGGTTACATTTAGCTGGTTGGAGGAGGAGACAGGAAATGTCAGAGTGCAGGAGGGGGCAGAAATCAGAGGGGACTGTGGAAGGAAACTGAGGGGTGCCCACTCCCTTGGGGGAATTTTGTACCTGCGTGGAAGTCAGGGATGGATTTCAAGAGCCCAGAAGTGTGTCATCAACCTCCTTGCTTCTCATTTATAGGCATCCCTTATTAGCATTTAGGGACATGCCCAAGGATGTAGAACCTTCAGCTAATGGACAGTGTCTGGCACTGTACTTCATTTGAAGCAACAGGTGCCAAAAGCCGGGTCCCAGTGCCTGCTGCTGTGAAAATGCAACTGGGACCCTCAGGTGCAATACTGAAAATGGCCACTAGATGACAATGTTGTGCCTTGATATACCGTCGGTCCCAAGGGCCCATCTGCCTGTTAGGTGGAGCCCTGGGTGTGCCTTGCTGCCTAGCTCTGGCCCTTTTGTGTCCCCTCCCACCCTTTCTTTGTGTCAGTATTTTGTCTCCCTCACCTATCTGCCTATAATATGGAAAGGCCCATTTTCTTTCGCGTGATTTCTTGAATGTATATAGTCAAAGTTTTGAGTCCCATTTCCAATTGGCAAACAGAACACACAAGTGTGTAGACAGACACCGGTGGGGAGGCACCTGTGGGCTTACCATGGAGCTGGGGGCTGTGTCTGGTGGTGGGAGCGCAGTGGTGACAGAGTTTGTGATAAATTCACAGCTGGGCTAGGGGTGGGGCCTGGGCCACATCTGTGTCCTGCCAGAGCTATCTTACTATGTGTCTGCCAACTCTCCATCTACATGCTCCTTCACATGAAAGGTCCTCCTCCCAGTCATGCCCATCCTAACCCCTTTTCCATTTCTTTACATGCTTCAGAGGAGCCTGCAGGTGTGGTCAAGCATCCTCCAGCCACAGACCGTATGTGCTTTTGGCGTGGGGACAAAGAGAGGGCGGGCCTTGGTCTTTTTGCTGGAGGGGAGAGGCTGCTGGTTGCCAGGAATGTTTTGACTTGCCGGAGGTGGGACTGAGTTTCACCACCGTGGTCCTTGGGCTTTACCTTTGGCTGTTACCTCTCAACCCTCAACATTGAATATATAAATCTCTTGGCAATTCCCTCCCACCCCCAAACCCTTTCCTGAGTCTGCTGGGTTCCAGATGATGTTCAAAAGAGCCCATGTAAGGCATTTTGGGGACCAGGAGGGAGCCAGGGTGACTTGAAAACTCCTGAAGTTGAAGTTCACAAAGTGAATCATAAATGAAATGATTAGTACAAACAATAATTCTCATGTTAGTTCCAGCGACCTGGCCTCCCACTTCTGTCCCAAATGCCAGAGCCCTGGCTGCTCTCGGGGCCCAGGTGAGAGTGATGATGGTTGCAGGCAGCCCTGGTGGGTTATATTTATTTCTCAAGTCTAGCCCATCCCTGCTCCTCCTCACCACCAGGGGCTCGGTGGGACTCAAGGCTCACAGCTCCCGTCCCCAGGTTGGGCTCGAGTACTTCCTTGCTGAGGCCATTTATTTTGTGCCTACCTTGCCCCATCCATGCTCAAATGGATTAGATCATCCCAGATGGTTCCCACTCCTGGCCCACTTCCCACCTTTGGCATTATGGAAACTGCCTCTTCCTCCTTCCTCTAGAAGGGACATCCTGGCTTTTCAGGGTTCTTGGAGTAAGGCCACTGAAGTCCTGTCCTGGGAAACTTGACTGCCAGCTGGAAAATTAGGACTTTAACAAAAAGATGCTCCAAAAAGGAGGAAAATGATGTAGAGAAAAGATTTTCCCTCATCATTAGTGTAATTCTTGTTTTAACTCTCCTTCAACCTGCTCCCCTGAAAGACTGTTCTGTGCTAATGTGGGGAGTGGGACAGAATGCTGGCATGAGTCAAGGATGTTAGGTGGTCTTGATTTCATAAGGATATGGGAGTGGGGGACATATGGCCAGGGCCTGCCTCAGGGAGCAGGACGTCTACCTGAGTGCCCTCTCTGGTGCCTTGGGAGATGGCTTCTCTGGCACCTGGGCCTCCTTTGTGCAGAATGGAGAGGGAGTGTAGGATGGGGTGCGGTCTGAGAGGGGCGGGCAGTGGAGGGGCCCTGAGCCCTAGCTTTCTGTGCGGGCTTAGTGCATGGGTTTTGAGGTTAGACCCTTTTGGGTCATGCCACTTTGTAGTCATGTGTTCCTTTGTATCTCTGAGCCTCAGTTTCCTCATCTGTAAGAAGGGATCATAAAAATAATAAAAATATCCATAGTGGTGAGGATTAAACAGATTTATGGGAGCTAGTGGGAGCCCTCATCAGTGTCGCTTCTCTATACATTTATGGGAGCTGCATCCCATGCATGTGGGGAATGGAGGCCCAGGGCTGGGCTCAGGCCTCAAGGTGGCTGAGTCGAGCACTAAAAGCCCCACTGGGCCAACCCCTCTGATCCCCACCTCTGTCTTCCAGTGGACGATCACCTGGGCTTCCTTCCCACCTTCGGGCCCTGCTATGTAAACCTCTACGGCAGCCCCAGAGAGTTCACTGGCTTCCTGGACCCTTATGCAGAGCTCAACATGGGCAAGGTGAGTCAGCCAGAGCCCCCACAGCTCCCATATCCCCAGGTCTGCATGTGGGGGTCTTCTAGTCTGGCCTGGGAAGTCTCTAATTTGGCCTGAGCTCCAAGGGCCTGGTGGAGCTTGAGTGGGCCCAGGACCAGGCAGCCGCCTGCTCAGAGAACCCTCCTTCCACCTGGCTACCTCCTGCCCCTTCTTTCCTCCCACTCCCCTCCTTTCTGCCCCTTCAGGGCCTGCCTGAACACCCCATCAACACCCCCTTGCCCCATTTTCCTGGCCCTTAAAGGCCCCAGGCCCCATCCCAGTCTTAGGCTTCACCTTTCTTCTCGCAGGGTCGGGGTCTGGTACTAACCATCTGGGGGAATCAGCATGCCCCCTGAACTCTCTGGGCCATACCCCCCCACCATCTGCAGAGTGGCAGGGGTAGCTCAGGGCCCTCCTGGGAGACAAGTGCCTTCAGGGCCAGATCAGGCCCCTTTCCCTCCCCTCCTCTCCTCTATGCCCCCTGCTCCTGCTGACCCAGCCTCCCCTCTCAGGGGGAAGGTGTGGCCTATCGGGGCCGGCTGCTGCTCTCCCTGGAGACAAAGCTAGTGGAGCACTGTGAGCAGAAGGTGGAGGATCTCCCTGCTGATGACATCCTTCGGGTAGAGGTGAGGGGCGTGGCCCTGGCAGGGGAGATGAGGAATATGGCAGCCAAGTGGGGCTGGCTTCAAGGAATCACGGCTCAGCTCTGTCCACATGCATGTGCCTTCATTCCCCTGGGCTGTGAAGTGGGGGTGACCCAGCACCAATCTTGCCTCCCTGAGCAATGTTCAGAGGCTCAAAGAAGATAAAGGAGAGTATTTAAAAAGTGTAGAGCTTGATGCAGAATGAGAGGTCTATTTTATAACAATAATGTTAGAATAGCTAATACTTTTTAATCATTTTGTGTTAGAGACTGTGCTGGTCACCTTCACTGTCACTGAGTCCTCCCAGCACCTGTGAGGTGGGAGGTGGCTAATGGGGGGCAGTGAATCATGAGGGTGGGGTGGGAGAGAGGGTATGCTGGCTCTCTCGTAGATGGGAGCTCTTGGGATGCAAGGACTCTCCTGCAGTTTTCTGACTGGTGCTGTCCCGTCTCTGAATCCAATGACAGACCCTGGTAGAAACCGAGCGACCTTCTGTTTTCCAATAGCCTCTGTTTCATGAGAACACAGCTATGCCCGCCATCAGCAGTCAAAGGGAGAGTTCGTATCCCTGTCCCCATCAGCCTGAATTTCTGGTGGTGAAGTTGGCCTTGATCTTTTTCAGGGTCATTATGAATATTCTAATGGCAAAGTGAGAGAGGCGTTTCCTCGGCCACTAGATGGCGCTCAGGTCATGGGTAACAGGGTATGGTTCAGGGAAACGCGGAAAGGTCTGCTCACTGTCTCCGTAGATTGTTGTGCAAATATGGGAGAATCTTGCAACCAGCTAACCAGTTTTCAGTGTGTTGTGAAAGCTTGATCTCTGTAACAATTAAAGAGTTACACTTACTGTTCAAATGATGTCCCTTCCCTCAGAGGTGCGTCCCTCTCTGAGGCCCTGAGGGTTAGGTTAGCACTTGTCCCGTGCCCTGCCACACTTCTCCCACTTGTCCCGAGGCCACCCCAGAACTTGCCCTCTGACTCTACTTTCAGCTGTTTGTTATTTCTTCTTCACATTGGAGGGGTCTAGCACACCTGGGCAAAGCACAACACTCTATTTCCTCACCACTTTCAAGACCCAAACTAAACTGAACCATAAAAACGGGCTTTCTTTATATTTCCCTGCCTCCTGGGTTCACCAGATTTTTTGGTCCGACCAGGAGTTTTTGTTTTCATATTTCTGTTTTTATTTCCAGTGAGGACAGGCCCTAACACTAGCCTCTTAAGCACTTCTGCCCACAAGTTTTCCTGGGCACACCTAAGTGTTCCTTGGACCCTGCGTTCCAAAGCATTTAGTAAAAATTTTGTGTTCTGAAAAGGAGTGCTTTGCTTAGAAGCCACAGTTCTTTCAAAAGGTGACAGGCACCAGAGACCCTGAAACTCACGCAGATTCTTTTAGAACTTTATATGTTTGAAAATGAAATCTTTGGAACATCAATGGCAATGACCTCCCAGCAGTTCCCGGTTTTTGCCTCCTGGCATGGGCTGGTGTCAGGCACCCAAACAGCAGGTGTAGGAGGTGTGCTGAGAGGCAGAGGAGCCAGCAGGGCTGGCTGCAGGTAATGGCCTCAGCTCCTCCAGGAGCAGACACGGGTGTCCCCGAGGACGGCCTGCGGGGCTGTGACGAGTGGCTCACTGGGCTTCGGCCCTGCTTACGGTCTCCTCCAGTTCCCCCAGGTGAGGGAGCTGGACTTGGCTGCCCAGGCCTCAGAACTGGGAACATTCACCTGTGTTTTGGGGGCTTTCACAGCCCCAGTTCCCTGAGCTTAGGGAAAACACACTGAAACACTTGTGTTTTGGCAGAAGGTGACGAGGACTCAACAGAGGCTTGGGTGGCTTCACTGGTCACTTTGCCCTTGACTTTATGAGCTGTCTGCAGGCATAAGGGAGAGAACCTGGGTGCTCCTCAGCATGTGGAGACCTGTGACCCTGCCCCCGAATCAGGAATCATTAGCCTAAGTTGTCCGCATAGCCATGTCTTACGAGGTGCCTAGCGTTGTCCCTGGTTAGGTTTGCTAAACAAATGAAGGAATGAAGGGAAGAATTAATGAAAGGTGCAATTGGGAAATAGGCTACTCTGCAGCCCCCAGTTGGCCCCCGTAGCCACCAGAGGTGTGTGTCAGTTAATGGCTGTTGGGATTCGGGGGGCATCTGGGTCTGGGCTGGGTACCAGTATGCAGCCAGGATTCAGAGTTGGTCTGTGGGTGGGAAGCTGAGTTTGTCTCTGCAAGAAGCATTGGGTGTGGGGGCTTCGGAACTCTGACCTTGGCCTCATTAGCTCGAGTTAACTGGCCAAGCCTGTTTGTAATCATTTGGAATGAGCTTGAAATGGACTCTGTTTCCTTCCGGTGGGCCCTGACCGTGCTCTCCTCGGGCTGCAGCTGTGCCATGCTGAGCCTCTGGCTGCTGCTGAGAGCTCCCCTATGGCCAGAGGACTGGCTCCCCCGCCAATGAAAACCTGTTTCTGTGGATGTGAAAGTAGCCATCAATTATGGTTTCTTCAGCCCCAACTTCTGCCAGCTGGTATTCCAAGCTGAGGCCTGGCTGAGGAGAGCTGAAGGGCTGGGTCCCAGGGCCTCAGGCCCCCTGAAGCTGGGTCTCACCTTCCTCGCTTCTGCTCCCATCGGTCAGTCCTGTCTTCATAGCCAGACTTCATGTTGCCTTCTCTCTCCTTCTCTGTGTCTCTGCTCATTCTTCCTTCACAATGTTTTGGTTTACTCTTGGCTCTTAATTGCAACCATGGAAAATACAGTGGGAAAATAGTCATAGGTGTTTTTTCTTTTTTAAGGAGACCAATAGGTAAAGGTGACCAATGAATGAGAATAATCAGGGATTTCACCAATCATATCTATAGGCTTGGTCACACCCCCAGACTTGGTTACATTTAGCTGGTTGGAGGAGGAGACAGGAAATGTCAGAGTGCAGGAGGGGGCAGAAATCAGAGGGGACTGTGGAAGGAAACTGAGGGGTGCCCACTCCCTTGGGGGAATTTTGTACCTGCGTGGAAGTCAGGGATGGATTTCAAGAGCCCAGAAGTGTGTCATCAACCTCCTTGCTTCTCATTTATAGGCATCCCTTATTAGCATTTAGGGACATGCCCAAGGATGTAGAACCTTCAGCTAATGGACAGTGTCTGGCACTGTACTTCATTTGAAGCAACAGGTGCCAAAAGCCGGGTCCCAGTGCCTGCTGCTGTGAAAATGCAACTGGGACCCTCAGGTGCAATACTGAAAATGGCCACTAGATGACAATGTTGTGCCTTGATATACCGTCGGTCCCAAGGGCCCATCTGCCTGTTAGGTGGAGCCCTGGGTGTGCCTTGCTGCCTAGCTCTGGCCCTTTTGTGTCCCCTCCCACCCTTTCTTTGTGTCAGTATTTTGTCTCCCTCACCTATCTGCCTATAATATGGAAAGGCCCATTTTCTTTCGCGTGATTTCTTGAATGTATATAGTCAAAGTTTTGAGTCCCATTTCCAATTGGCAAACAGAACACACAAGTGTGTAGACAGACACCGGTGGGGAGGCACCTGTGGGCTTACCATGGAGCTGGGGGCTGTGTCTGGTGGTGGGAGCGCAGTGGTGACAGAGTTTGTGATAAATTCACAGCTGGGCTAGGGGTGGGGCCTGGGCCACATCTGTGTCCTGCCAGAGCTATCTTACTATGTGTCTGCCAACTCTCCATCTACATGCTCCTTCACATGAAAGGTCCTCCTCCCAGTCATGCCCATCCTAACCCCTTTTCCATTTCTTTACATGCTTCAGAGGAGCCTGCAGGTGTGGTCAAGCATCCTCCAGCCACAGACCGTATGTGCTTTTGGCGTGGGGACAAAGAGAGGGCGGGCCTTGGTCTTTTTGCTGGAGGGGAGAGGCTGCTGGTTGCCAGGAATGTTTTGACTTGCCGGAGGTGGGACTGAGTTTCACCACCGTGGTCCTTGGGCTTTACCTTTGGCTGTTACCTCTCAACCCTCAACATTGAATATATAAATCTCTTGGCAATTCCCTCCCACCCCCAAACCCTTTCCTGAGTCTGCTGGGTTCCAGATGATGTTCAAAAGAGCCCATGTAAGGCATTTTGGGGACCAGGAGGGAGCCAGGGTGACTTGAAAACTCCTGAAGTTGAAGTTCACAAAGTGAATCATAAATGAAATGATTAGTACAAACAATAATTCTCATGTTAGTTCCAGCGACCTGGCCTCCCACTTCTGTCCCAAATGCCAGAGCCCTGGCTGCTCTCGGGGCCCAGGTGAGAGTGATGATGGTTGCAGGCAGCCCTGGTGGGTTATATTTATTTCTCAAGTCTAGCCCATCCCTGCTCCTCCTCACCACCAGGGGCTCGGTGGGACTCAAGGCTCACAGCTCCCGTCCCCAGGTTGGGCTCGAGTACTTCCTTGCTGAGGCCATTTATTTTGTGCCTACCTTGCCCCATCCATGCTCAAATGGATTAGATCATCCCAGATGGTTCCCACTCCTGGCCCACTTCCCACCTTTGGCATTATGGAAACTGCCTCTTCCTCCTTCCTCTAGAAGGGACATCCTGGCTTTTCAGGGTTCTTGGAGTAAGGCCACTGAAGTCCTGTCCTGGGAAACTTGACTGCCAGCTGGAAAATTAGGACTTTAACAAAAAGATGCTCCAAAAAGGAGGAAAATGATGTAGAGAAAAGATTTTCCCTCATCATTAGTGTAATTCTTGTTTTAACTCTCCTTCAACCTGCTCCCCTGAAAGACTGTTCTGTGCTAATGTGGGGAGTGGGACAGAATGCTGGCATGAGTCAAGGATGTTAGGTGGTCTTGATTTCATAAGGATATGGGAGTGGGGGACATATGGCCAGGGCCTGCCTCAGGGAGCAGGACGTCTACCTGAGTGCCCTCTCTGGTGCCTTGGGAGATGGCTTCTCTGGCACCTGGGCCTCCTTTGTGCAGAATGGAGAGGGAGTGTAGGATGGGGTGCGGTCTGAGAGGGGCGGGCAGTGGAGGGGCCCTGAGCCCTAGCTTTCTGTGCGGGCTTAGTGCATGGGTTTTGAGGTTAGACCCTTTTGGGTCATGCCACTTTGTAGTCATGTGTTCCTTTGTATCTCTGAGCCTCAGTTTCCTCATCTGTAAGAAGGGATCATAAAAATAATAAAAATATCCATAGTGGTGAGGATTAAACAGATTTATGGGAGCTAGTGGGAGCCCTCATCAGTGTCGCTTCTCTATACATTTATGGGAGCTGCATCCCATGCATGTGGGGAATGGAGGCCCAGGGCTGGGCTCAGGCCTCAAGGTGGCTGAGTCGAGCACTAAAAGCCCCACTGGGCCAACCCCTCTGATCCCCACCTCTGTCTTCCAGTGGACGATCACCTGGGCTTCCTTCCCACCTTCGGGCCCTGCTATGTAAACCTCTACGGCAGCCCCAGAGAGTTCACTGGCTTCCTGGACCCTTATGCAGAGCTCAACATGGGCAAGGTGAGTCAGCCAGAGCCCCCACAGCTCCCATATCCCCAGGTCTGCATGTGGGGGTCTTCTAGTCTGGCCTGGGAAGTCTCTAATTTGGCCTGAGCTCCAAGGGCCTGGTGGAGCTTGAGTGGGCCCAGGACCAGGCAGCCGCCTGCTCAGAGAACCCTCCTTCCACCTGGCTACCTCCTGCCCCTTCTTTCCTCCCACTCCCCTCCTTTCTGCCCCTTCAGGGCCTGCCTGAACACCCCATCAACACCCCCTTGCCCCATTTTCCTGGCCCTTAAAGGCCCCAGGCCCCATCCCAGTCTTAGGCTTCACCTTTCTTCTCGCAGGGTCGGGGTCTGGTACTAACCATCTGGGGGAATCAGCATGCCCCCTGAACTCTCTGGGCCATACCCCCCCACCATCTGCAGAGTGGCAGGGGTAGCTCAGGGCCCTCCTGGGAGACAAGTGCCTTCAGGGCCAGATCAGGCCCCTTTCCCTCCCCTCCTCTCCTCTATGCCCCCTGCTCCTGCTGACCCAGCCTCCCCTCTCAGGGGGAAGGTGTGGCCTATCGGGGCCGGCTGCTGCTCTCCCTGGAGACAAAGCTAGTGGAGCACTGTGAGCAGAAGGTGGAGGATCTCCCTGCTGATGACATCCTTCGGGTAGAGGTGAGGGGCGTGGCCCTGGCAGGGGAGATGAGGAATATGGCAGCCAAGTGGGGCTGGCTTCAAGGAATCACGGCTCAGCTCTGTCCACATGCATGTGCCTTCATTCCCCTGGGCTGTGAAGTGGGGGTGACCCAGCACCAACCTTGCCTCCCTGAGCAATGTTCAGAGGCTCAAAGAAGATAAAGGAGAGTATTTAAAAAGTGTAGAGCTTGATGCAGAATGAGAGGTCTATTTTATAACAATAATGTTAGAATAGCTAATACTTTTTAATCATTTTGTGTTAGAGACTGTGCTGGTCACCTTCACTGTCACTGAGTCCTCCCAGCACCTGTGAGGTGGGAGGTGGCTACTGTTAGTATCTCCATTTTACAGATGAGGAAACTGAGGTTCAACTATATCATACTGGCAAGAGGTAGAGCTGGGCCGTGTGTCCAGGGGGCAGTTCACTCGAATCCACAAGGTGGCTTAAGCTTTCAGACTCTGTAGTCAGACAGTGTTGGTTTGAGTCCTGGCTTGACCACGTACCCCATGTCAGTTTCCCTATCTGTAAAGTGGGGGTAATTATACTTAAAACATAAAATTGTTATGGGAATTAAATTATTCATGCCTATATGCAGTAAGCACTCAATAAATGTTAGCTGTTATTACTATTTATATCATCTAAAAACCCAGTTGTGTAACCTCTCCTCACTCCTGCCTTCTGTAAAGCAGACTTGGTTCAAACTGGGACGTGTGATTGAGTGGCTGCCATGTAGCTCAGCCCTGTGTCTGACGGCTAGAGGGGACAATAAGAGTCATTTATCATAAGCACTTGGCAGCCTGTACATACAGAGCTGGCTGGTGTGGCAGAGGCCCCTGATGGCCTGGGGTGGGAGCCCTAAGTAGGGGTATGATGACTGGAGCCTTTGGCCCCTTCTGAACAGCAGATGGAGGAGACCAGGCTTCCCTGGGGTGGCGGTGCCACTGCTGCTGGTTTGGATTAAGGAGCAGCATGACCTTGGAGGAGCAGACCTTATTAGAGGAACATGGCCAAACACACAGGCCTGGACTGAGTTTGCTCAGTTAGTAACCAAATCTGGGCACTGTTGCTTAGCTGGACCATTCACCACCTATCTGTCCAGCCAGGATTTATTGGGCGCCAGTCACAGGCAGGGCCTGCCAGCCATATGACCCCTTCCCACGCTGGTGTCTTCCTTCCTTCTCCTGATGACCCTCTGGCTGCCCTTTCTGCTCCCAGAAGTACCTCCGAAGGCGCAAGTATTCCCTCTTTGCCGCCTTCTACTCGGCCTCCATGCTGCAGGATGTCGATGATGCCATTCAGTTCGAGGTCAGCATTGGGAACTATGGTAACAAATTCGACACGACCTGCCTACCGCTGGCCTCCACCACCCAGTTCAGCCGGGCAGTTTTTGACGGTGAGGCCAGAGGCTGCGTGCCTGGCTGGGACCAGACACCAGACACCAGACAGGGGGCTGAACCCTAAATCCTGCCTCCATGGAAAGCTGCCAGAGGCCCACACAAAGGCCTATCCCAGGCAAACCTGTCTGGGGGAACCCCCACTCTGATCCTCCTGTGCTGCCTCCCCCTGCTCACCTCCAGGTGGGTCCCTGCTGCCAGGACCACAGACCGGGTTCCTGAAACCAGCTGTGGTTGGCTTTGATCCTGAGCTATGGTGATCATTTATTACATGGTGGCTGTTGGGCTTGGCGTAGAGATTTTGGAGAGTACGGGTTTCCCAGGGTCTTTCTAATAACCCCTCTGCTTTGATGTGCTAAGGAGCCCTAATGAGTGCAGCACTGTTTGTTCAACACAAAAAGGGAGCTCGGGCACTTTGTTTGGTCCTTGGGGAATACTGGTCGTACTGTGCATGTCTGAAGAGGCTCTTAGTGGGAGGGGGAGCCAGTGCCTGAGTCTGCCCCACCCTCGGTCCCCTTCCCACCCACCCCTCTGCTCCTGCCTCACTACCCTGGTGTCCTTCCAGGGTGTCACTACTACTACTTACCCTGGGGCAACGTGAAGCCCGTGGTGGTGCTCTCGTCCTACTGGGAGGACATCAGCCACAGAGTTGAGGCTCAGAACCAGCTGCTCAGGATTGCCGACCGGCTGGTGAGTGGGAGCTGCTCCACACCCACATGTACTTTGTGCACACCCTCCCTCCCCAGCGGGTGTTTTCAGAGGGCCTACGTGGGTGCACACGTGTACACACAGCTAAGCCTGCAGACCTTCATGGTGCCTGGGATCCCCTGTGTCCTGCTAATGCGAGGTCTGTCATCCTGTCCTGTATACTGGGAAGAGGAGGGGCATGAGAACCATCCTGGGGGACCCGCACAGTCTGATGTGGGCGACAGCACAGAGAAAGAGCTGAGAGAAAATGAGCTAGAAGCAGCAGGTTAGAGCCTTGCACTGGTTCATTCATTCATTCATTCATTCATCATGTGCCTTTGACTCTAACCACACGTAAGGGCTTGTGCTGTAAACTTCTGGCCAGAAGGCAGACATGAACAAGGAGTTGTCCTGCCTTCAGGGAGTCAGTTTAGTAACGGACAGTACAGTCTAGTGAGGGAAACTCCCATACGAGATCCCAAACTTAAGTTCAGGTGACACCCAGGAGTACCAAGGGAGAGATGAGTTCTCAGAAGAGGGAGAGTGCCAAGCAGGGTCTGGGGGCACTGCAGAGGCAGCAAGGAGGCAGGGGGTGGGGGCGCAGTCAGGGTGCCACTGCAGTGGGGCAGGTGATGGTGATGAGGTGCTGGGAGGGAGGGGACCTCGGGGAGGAAATGGCAGGCCTTGGGCTGGGAGGACTTGGTGGTCTATTGGACTGGGAGAGGAGGAAAGGCCATGAGGAGGGACTCTGGGAAGTTGGGGAGAAGAGCAGAATGTATGTGGCCAAGTGGTGAATCCTGTTTGGACATGACCCAGGGGCCCTCTGGGAGTTACTGGGATGGTGGGTGCTGGGAGTGGCAGGCCTGGCCGGGGAGCAGGAGAATCCAAGTGGGTGGAGGTGAAGCGGCCAAGGGCGCAGAGCTGATGATCCTGGTGGTGGCCCCAGGCCGTTGCTGTGAGTGTGTGGGTGGAGGCTCCCCCAGGAGGAGGGTGGCACGTGGGGACATGGAGGAGGCAGGGGCCACATTGTTGGAGCAAGCAAGGAGGAGGGGGGCAGAGGGAAGGGGTCAGAGAGGCTCAGGCATGTCTGTGGGTGAGGAGGAAAGGCGGAAGGGGAAAGGGAAGGGGGGCGATTGGGGTCCTGGAGGGGCGGGGAGGGGCTGGAGGCCCAGGTGCGGGCCATGGGACCCGCCCCTCCTCTGACTCTGCAGCTCTGGGGGAGGGAGGAGAGCAGCTAGCACTCAGGTCCTGGAGAACTTGGAGTCAGTGCTGGGTACGTGAACAGCATCCTGTGGTCAGCTCTTCTCTCGCAGGACCCTCCTGAGGGTGGGGACTGTGTTCTTCCCAGGGCCCGTCCCCAGAATGGTGGTCCTAGGAGCACGTGGCCCATGTTCAGGGAGGCTCGGGGACAAGTCTTTGACCTGATGGTGATGCTGTGGGAGATCCCCACAGCCCAGCTCAGGGCTGAGCCATGGAGACGGCGGGAGGACAGCTCCATGGAGGAGGCTGATGCCACCCGAGGAGAGAGGGCAGGCAGTGCCCTCTTACTGGAGGTGGTCTGTGCTTCTGAAGGAGGAGGACGTGACCCGAGCCTGCTGGGTGGTAGGATTTGGAAAGTGTAGAGCATTCCAGGTGGGGAACTGGAGCAGGCTGAGAGGGCCACTTACCTGTGGGATGTCAGGTCTGGCTTGAAGGGGGCTGGTGAGAAACAGGATGCAGTCAAGTTCTGTTGAAGCCCGCACGCAGCACCTGACGTCCTCGTGACCATACTGGGGCTGGACTCCAGGGCTTGGGGATTAGGGTCTATTTGATGGGGAGGCCTGCAGGGTTCTTGAGCCGGGACAGACCCTGGTGTGTCCAGTCTATCTCTACTTTCTTTGCTCTAACTGTTCCTTCCTTTTCAGTTTGGGTCTGTGGTGACAGGGCCTTGGCTGGGGGTCTGGTGTGTACCCTCTGCCCCCTGCTCATGGTCCTGACCCTTGCCCGCCTATCCCGCAGGAGGCCAGCCTGGAGCGAGTCCACCTGGCGCTGAAGGCACAGCGCTCCTCCGAGGATGTGAACTCCATGCTGGCTCAGCTGATGGATGAGCTCACTGCAGACTGCAGGTAGGGGTGCTTGGCACCCAAGCACCCTCCCCTCCTGGCTCAGCGAGGCCCTTTCCCTGGGAGTGTTCGTGTGTGGCGGTGAGCGGCAGCACGTCTCCCCAGCCACACTTGGCCAGCAGTCCAGCCCATGCTGAGTCCAAAGGTGGCGGAGCCAGCGTGGGGAGTTGAAAAGGTGACATTTAGAGCAGGTCATAAATCTCCTTGCAGCAGTGGCAGCTGTGGGCCTGGGGCAGCCAGGCTCACCTGAATGGGGAGCATTGTGTCTCTGATCCCCAACCTCTTATTTCCCTGATGGAATCTCCAGGAGGAGCTGGCTGGTGGGGGTGATGGTGCCCCTCCTTCCCCCGACGGCCATGTCGGGGACCTCGATCTCCATTTGGCCTTCTGCTCACATGGCTGATTGTCAGCTTCAGGAAAATGGGGTCCTGAGGGTGATGGAGGAGGAGGGCTGGGAGGCCCTGCAGCAAGGGGAGCATCTTGGCGTTCTCCCCACGGCTGGGTGATGTGGGGCTCCCCACCCACCTGCTCTGAACCTTGGTTTCCTCATCTTCAAGCTGACGTTAAGAATAACTACTTTACAATATCACATAAGCAAAGTACCCGACCCTTAAGAAGTGTTTAATGAGTGGCAGCTGTCATTATTACAAAGGGGAGAAGTCAGGAGACTCGGACTCTGGCCCTTCACTGGCTTTGCGGCTTTGGGCAGCTGCTTCTTTGGACTTCAGTTTTCTCAGCTGGTAAATAGACTTAATAAATAGCTGTCTTTCTACTTTTGATGGGGTTAAGTGTGAATATACGCAAATATATTCATCCCTCCTCTAAATCTTAGCACCCCACCCCTGCTGAATGTATGAGAAATGCCTGCAGGTTGAGAAGTGGGTGACCATGTCTGCCTGAGGCAGTGCCCTCTCTGGTCCTTCACGCCCCAGTTGGGAAGTGTATCTTTATTAGACAAAACATTACCCCAAGGAAATGCCCTCACCCCCAAGTGGTGGAATCCAGACAGGTCATTCCTTCGTTCCACAAACATTCCTGAGGCCTGGCAGGCTCTGCTCCAGGTGCCCAAAGCATATTGACAAGGGTGCAGCTTCAGCCCTCTAGGGGGTGATGGATGCAAAGTGAGCAACTGAAGTAAAGTATGCTAGGGAGTTAAGAGGCATGTGCTGCAGGAGCTCAGGGCAGGTGCATCTAACTCAACTCTAATTCAGGAAAGCTTCCTGGAGGAGGAAAGGTGCTGGTGCGAACTCCAAAGGAGAAGTAGGAGTCAGCTTTTGTAGATGGGCTGCCCAGGCAAAGGTGCAGAAGCCAGAAATGCCTGCTGCCTCCAGGGCTTGGCATGGGAAGGGGAAGTCCAAATGGGATAGGCCCCAGGGGTCCTCCGAGCTGAGATCAGCCCTGGGAGTCGTTGAGGGCACAGGAGCCCTGTGGCTCGGGCGCTCACTCTGGCTGCAGTCTGAGAGATGGCTTGTGGTGGTAGTGAGGGGAGACGGGGCAAAGGTGTTGCCTAAGACAGGGACACAGGAAGGGCTGGAAGCCAAGAGAAGCAGAGGGCAGTGTTGACTCTTGGGGAGGCATCATGATGGCGACAGGCTCATAATGAGCATTTCCTGTGCCAGGTGCTGGTCTAAGACTTTTACATAGCTTAACTAGTCATCAAAGTCTTACGTGGTAGGAAATAGAATTTCCTACTCCCTGCTCACATTTTACAGATGAGAAAGCTGAGGCACCGAGAGGTTAATTAACTTGCCAGATTCATGTCCCTAGTCAGTGGCCGAGCCACCTTGCTCTCAGATAGACAGGACTTGATGGTGGATTGGATGTGGGGGTCCAAAGAATATCCGAATGATTCCCCAGCTCTGGCAGAGCAGCTGGGTGGACAGTAGGGCCATTCTCAGAGGCAGTGGGAGAAGGGCAGTTTTGGGGGACAATGAGTTCAGGACTGGCCATTTTGAGTGGGAGGTACCTGTGGGCATCTGTGGCCTTGAGGTCGGAGGACAGAGTGGGGCTGGAGGAGCACCTGGGGGCACGGTCAACACAGAGGGCATCAGAGTGCCTGGCTGAGCACCCCTGGTCAGGCCGACAACCGTGGGTATGGAGGGTGGGCCGGGGCTTCAGTTCTACAGGAGCTCTGCTTATGACTCATGTGCTGTGTGGACTCTGGCAGGTCTAAGGTGCCTGAAATGTGTGAAGTGGGTGGGACCCAAGTCCTGGGCTGTCCTTACCGCCCCTCTCAGGACTCTTTTCTTGGAGGATTTGGCTAAAAAGACTTCTGCCAATGGCTGGTCCGCTTGAGCCACTCTCCTGGGAAGAGAAGGTAGCGAGGCCTTCCTGGGGGGCTCCTCTCCCAGCTTAGGAACTCAGGAAAAGATTCTCGTTCTTGGAATGCACAAATGGCTCTCCAGAGAGGGATGCCAGGCATTAGGACCGATTCCTTCAGGTGCCGCGTGAGGCCACCAACAGCACCTGGCACAGAAGTGCCACCATGAGGGCTGCCACCACCTCTGACTCTGTGCTGAGCATCCTCACAGCTGACAAGCAGGGCAGCTGGGCCGAGGGCCCCATGCCAGTTCACCCCCGCTGACGCCCGGCGGCTCACCTACTCCACCAGGCCCCTGCCCATGTCTCCAACTTCAGTGTCCTTCGTTCCATCAGGCCTTTCCCTGGCTCATGGCCATGGGGGCTCCTCCCCTACACTGTTCTTCCAGCCCAGCCCTCTCCTCTCTTCTCTAGACCCACAGACATGCCTGCCGCTTGTCTCTACCTGGATGTCCTGCCGGCACATCTAGTTCGTTCTCTGTGATCTTCCTGAATCTGTGCCATGCTGCCTCCACTCCAGCCTGCAGTGGCTCCTGTTACCTTCAGGAAAAGTCTCAGCTCTTATCCAGGGAATAGGGCTCTCTGTCCCCACTCCCTGCCTCATGGACCCCAGCAGTCCTACCCTCCAGCCCTTCAGGGCCTCTCTGCTGGCTTGTCTGGCCCTCACCACCCAATACATGCTCCCTTCTGCCTCTGAGCCTTTATCTTGTGCACATACTGCTCCTTTGACCAGAATGCCCTTCCTGCTCTTCTTGGCCTGCCCAGCTCCTGCTGGTCCTGACAGATGCAGCTAGGGGGGCGCTTTCTCCAGGAAGTACTCCTGACTCTTGAGTTTGCTCACTGGGGTTCTAGCCTGTTTGCTTCCCTGTTCCAGGGGGCCCCCAAGGGCAGGGCTGGGTCTGGTCTCTTGGGACCGAGCCCCCAGACAGGACCAGCAGTGCTGGTGTTCTTGAGGTATGAAATGAATGGCCCTTCAGCCAGTTCATCTTTCAGGCTGGACACTGGCCCCTCCTGGGTGCTGTCTCTGATAAAGACACCCACTCACCACAGGGCAGGCAGCTCATCTCTGCTCTCAGCCTGCCCTGAGCCCGGCCCGGGGCCTGTCTGCCGTTTCCAAGTCAGCCAGAGCTGGCAGAGTGACTGCCCCTGTTTGGGGTTGGGAGTATAGTATCCTCCCCCCTCCTCTTCCAGGTCTCCCTTTCTTTCAGTAGCTCCTGCCTTGGGTGTTCCTGGGGTGGCAAAGGGCTGAGATATCTTGTTAGTGGCAGTCATAGGTCCTGGCTGCTGCTTTGGGAGTCTTGGCTGGGGTGGTGACCTCCATGAAAATCTCCCTTTGGTGGTCTGTATGGCAGCCCCTCCCAGCTCCTGACCTGGGCTGGGAGCATAAATCACCCTGGTTGGCGCAGCTCTCCATATCCCGCACCAGACCTACCTGCCCCCACTCTCAGGCCCATTCAGGCCTCCTTCCCAGGCAGGCCCCAGCCCAGGACTCTGGCCCAGGCCCCCCTTTACCCACCGAGCATGTCCCTCCACCACGTTCAAGTGGGCTGGGGATGGAGGCCGCCCCTCTCCTGGACTGGGGCAGCCCATCCGCGGCACCCTCAGGGCAGTAAATATTATATTACTACAGGGTGTGCAGTACGTGACCTGAGACAGGCCCCGGGGCTTAAGTTTCCTGAGATGGAGTTTGCATACGGCTCCCCCCACCCTAAAAATTCAATTAAAAAAAATAACAGGAAAAATGTAGTGCACTGAGGGCCTGCCAGAGTGGTGTATCTGGCGGCCGTGGTGCCGCTGCGCTCCGGCGGTAATTGGTTCTGCATAGCTCGGGGAAATTGGCAGAAAAATAAATCAGCCGGGAGCCGGGAGTCGAGACACTGAGGGGAGGAGAGTATGAGGTGGGGGGCGTGGGGGGTGGCTGCAAGTGGTGGGAGCAGAACTGGTGGAGGGGGTTTGACTGATGTCCTGTTTGGGAGTCAAGGGCTCAGTGGATGTCGGGTGGGGGTGGGGCAGCCCCCCATACTCTGAAGCAGAGGGGTCCTACTTGGCGCAGGAGAACACAGCTGCCCTACCCCACCTGCCCCAACCCTGCACGACCCTTGTGTGCGTATTGACTGGCCACAGATGCCCAGTATGGTGAAGAGGAGCTATATGAAGGACCTTCAGGGAGCCCAGGGGGATGGGGGGGTCAGAGTTCTTTGCCTCTAAACAAGATTTGGTTCAAACCCCACCCCCCATTTGGGGTCTAGGGCTGTTTCTGGGACTGCATGTACTCCCCACCTTCTCTCCAGAGGCTTCCCAAACAGAGGGTTCTGGGACAGGGTTGTGGGGTTGCCCTAGGTCGACACATCTGTGTTGCTGGCTGCCAGCCTCCCCACAGTGTCTGCAGTGGCTTGTCAGGAGTCCATAAATTTCCTTCTTGAGGAAAGTGTGCATACAACAGAGTGGATTCTTTTCAGCCAAGGGCAATTTCACACTGGGGCCTTAGCTCTAGGAAGTTGCAAGGGACAGGGAGGGACCTGCTGGGCCCTCTGAGGGCTTGCAGTCAGTTGAGCAGAGGGGACAACATATGCAAAAGAACTCACATGCCTAGGGGTTAGGATAAATTCCAAGCAGGCAGTCCCAGTATAAAGGGCTGGGGGACTTCAGAGCAGGAGGCCGGTAGGCCAGTGTTGTTGGGGAAGTCTTCCCTGGGAGGTGAGGATGGGGTAGGTCACTTGGAGATGACTGTACATGTGGGTTAGGTTGCAGAAAGCACACAGGGCACATGGAGCACCCGGCAGGCAGGCTGAGGTGTGGAACCTGTTGTAGGGGTCTGTGCACTCAGGCATGAGTACATGCATGTGTGCACGTGTGCATGTGGACCTTGGTGAGGGCATCAGGCACATCCTGTCTGTCTGTCCCTCACAGCCAGCCCCTGAGTGATGTCCAAGAGATGCCCTCTGCCACCCACTTGGACCAGTACCTGTACCAGCAGCGCATGGGTCACCTGAGCCAGATCACTGAAGCAGCCCTGGCCCTGAAGCTCAGTCGCAGAGAGCTCCCTGCCACCCTGGAGCAGGCTGAGGACTGGCTCCTTCAGCTCCGTGCCCTGGCGGAAGAGGTAGCTGACCCTGGGAGGTGTCTTCCTTCCTGCCTGGAACATCAGAACTGGGGGGACATGGGAACTGTCTGGACTATGATCTAACCCTGCCTCCATTGCTGGGTAACTTGGACAGGTGACTCAGTCTCTCTGAGCCTCAGTGTCTCCATTCATGAGGAGGAGAGAGTATGCAACTGGTTGCTGGGTGTTGTGGGTGAAAGCTTGGCATGTAGTAGGTATTCAGTAAATGCCCCCAAATGTGCACAATAGATGTGCTCCATAATTGCCATCAAAGTCTGTCAGAGACAGCTGGGACCAGAGCCTAGGGCTGGCTTTAGGTCCAATGCTCGAGCATGGTTCCTTAGAGACCCAACTCCTTCTCCCTGCCAACCAGTGCCTGTCTGCTCCTGGCCTCAGACTTGCCTCTCATGGGGCCCCGTGTTTCCTGCTCTCCTGAAAGCCTCTGAGCCCCAGGCCTGAGGAGGCTGCATTTGCAGTAACTCTCAGCTTTTTCATATCTAATCAGAGTGACTACAGTTTGTCTTTAGGGGCACCCTTTCCCCACCTGCACACCATCCCCATTCCAGGTCAGATGCACCCACCCAGTGAGGAAGCAGGCAGGCCACAGATTTGTCCAGAACGAGGACAAAGGTCTGCTCATATGTCCTGGGCAGACCAGCTGCTCCCCACTCTGACCAGGCCAGGGAGAGGATGGGGAGAAAGGCGGTCCCCAGAAAGCGTGTGCACAGAGAAGGGCAAGGCTTGAGAGGGGCTTCTGGAGAAGCAAGTTGTTGAAGGGGAGAGGGAGGTCCAGGAGGTGGGAGGGTTGCTCAGGAGGGGAAGGTAGTCTGAAATGTTGGTCCCTGAGAGTCAGCCTTGGACTTAACCCCATGCAGGACCTTGGGCATGTGGTCGCTACCTGGGGGAAACACTGTGTTGCTCACCCACAGGGACTGTGGATGGTCCCCAAGGCTGGTCACAGGCTACATTCCATAATCTTGGCCCAGACTGACCCTGGAACTCTCAGCACAGATGGTGATAGAGCTGGGAGGGGTCAAGGTCAAACAGGTGCTGCTGATAGGAAGGGAACCCGGAGGGAGTTTCTCTCAAAAGATTTGTGCATTAATATCCCTGAAGGGCTTCTTAACACTGGTTAGAGCCTCCATTGATCCTATGTGTCTGGGGTGGAGCCTGAGGATCTGCATTTCTAGTAAGTTCCCAGGTGCTGCTGGCTGCTGTTGCTCCTGGGACCACACTTTGCAAAAACCTGGAGTGGTGGTTTGGAACACATGGTAGTCAGGAAAACCTGGCTGGCTCCTTCCCCCTTCGTGCCTGAATTTCCTCACCTGTCAGATGGGGCTGCCTGTCCCTGTCTCTGGGGCTGCCGCCGTGATTAACTGGAACGTGGCCTGTGAGCTGCTGAGTGGGTGATCGGCAGCACTGGCTCCCTGGAGCTGCCCTGGGTAGAGACCCAGCCCTACCCTGCTGAGCACGCTTTGCGCACCAGCCCTGGAAGCAGATGGACCCAACAAGCCATCTGCCCTGAGCGTGGAAGCCGGGAGCAGTTCTCACATCCAGCTGAGGAGCTCACGGGCCTCGCAGTTTTGTTCTGGGCTAGTCGCCATTTTCACAGCCCAGTGCCACCAGGCCCAGAAGACGGTCAGCCCCAAGGATCCCACTGTCAGAGTGGGAAGGGAGTGTCCTCTGGGAGGGGGCATGCCTTCTGTGGATTTGCTGCTGCTCTCTGGGATGAGGGAGAGGTGGCATCTGTAGTGTAAAGTCATCTGTCGGGTAAAATCAAATCCTCCCCTGTCTGCTCCCCTGGGAGCATCTGTCTACACAGTGGAGGGGATCTAAGAACTTGAGCTCTGGGCTCCAGGCAGGAGTGTCTCTTCCCAGAAAATGTGAACTCAGCTCAGTGAGTGTTTGGCAGGCTCCCCATGTGAGATGGAGGAGCTGGAGGCAGCCTCACACCCTGTCCTTGGGGGCACATAGCTGCTGAAGACAGAGGTGCCTAGCCAGCCCTGGGAGGTCAGGGGGACAGCCAGAGGGCAGGATGTGAGCAACACGAGGGATGGAAGCTTGGAGGAGAGGCCCATGTGGCCGCTGAGCCAGGGCAGGTCAGCTTGCAGTGGGCCGTGGGCCGTGGACCCAGGCTCGTCACCGTTCTCCCCCTGACTGTCGCCCCCTCTCTCAGCCCCAGAACAGCTTGCCTGACATCGTCATCTGGATGCTGCAGGGAGACAAACGCGTGGCATACCAGCGTGTGCCCGCCCACAAGGTCCTCTTCTCCAGGCGTGGTGCCAGCTTCTGCGGCAGGAACTGTGGGAAGCTGCAGACGATATTTCTGAAAGTGGGTGCTTTTTCCCCAGGTCACGGTGGTATTTTCTCAATCCAGGTCTGTCCCCTCCCCTCCAGTTTCCACTCCTTTCTCTGACTGCTTCCCTTCTCCTCTCAACCCAGCGTAGTCCCTAGGCCCCAGGGACCTCGTCAGGAAAGTGAACGGGTGAGAGCTGGACTCGTGGGGTACTGGAAAGCCTGAGGCAGGTCTGTGGCCCCTCGGCCACGTGGGAGGAGCTGCCCCTGAGGCCGTGCTTGCCTTCCAGCTGGTCCTTGCCAGGGGCCTCAGCCCTCAGTGCCCAGCCCAGCCTCTAGGAACCCTGGCACAGACCTACTTGCCCATGCTGCCCGACGCCTCGCTCCTAGCGGGAGGAACACTGGGGTTTGGGTTCTTCCCTGTGGGCAGGCTGGTGTGTGGGCACCAGGTGTGCCTGTGGCTCTGTCCTATGGGAGAGCTGGGAGCAGTGATCTGTGCTCTCACTCTCCCCCCTTTCCTCTCCTCCAACACCCTGCCCTGCTCTCTCTCTACTCTCAGGGGACTGGCCAGTCTTGGGGTGGGGAGACAGAGAAGTGAGCAGGTGTCTGGGGACCCCCATCCCCTTCTCTGGGTTAATGTGGGGACATAGAGCCAAGACTGTTTTGGCTGGGGTGCTGTGGCGTGGTGGTCAGGATACAATCTGGGGAAATCCCTCCCTGTGCTCTGGCTGCTCTGGCCCAAGGGGAGGGTCCCTGCTTGGAGGGCTGACCTTGAGGTTGCCCCACTAGCAGAGGAGTAGCCCTGGGAGGCAGGTCTGCCCCTCACCACTCACTGCTCACTCCAAATGGCTCTGTTGGCATTAGAAGCTGCTTGGACTTCATCCCAGGCAGGCCTATCTCCCCCAGCCCTTGCTCCCCACCTGCCCTCCCATCCATACCAGGACCAGCGCCTGCCTCATCTCTTCTAGGAAGAACCTTAGCCTCAGATCTCTGAGTGGCTGTTGGTCAACCCATGCATATATTGGCCAGTTGTTCTTGTTGCCCTCTGGGGTGGATAGCAAGGACAGGATTCAGTAGGTTGCAGGGCTGTGGACAGGTTGCAGGGCTGGCTGAACCCTGTGTAGCTGAGGGCAGGTTGCCTAACCTCTGTGCTGGCTGTCTGCTCACCTGTAAAATGAGGATCAGGCCACCTATTTTCATGTTTTCAGGATTGAATTAGGTAACACAGGTCATGGGTCTTGCTGGAACCACAGCAGTGAGTGATGGGTGAGTCTTAATTTCTCTCCCTCTTCTCCCCTTTTCCTTCTGGGGGCTCTTTTGCTCCGTGGGGAGAGGAGGCCCCACCAGTACCATGATTAGAGGCCAACCCAGAGCCAGGATGAGCAGGTATCTGCATGTGGGTATCTCACAGGTATCTCACTGATACTTCAGAGGAGAGGCCAACTTTGCCTAGAAAGAGGGTGGGAGTGTCAGGCAGTGGACTGCCCCTCTCACCTGCCTATGTGCCCCCTGGGGCACGGTCCCCCTGTGATCCTGATCTTGTTGCATCCTGCTCTTCTCCTCCTAAGCTGGCTCCTTACTTAGTAGGACAGAAGGGATAGGATATCAGTGAGCTGCCCCATCTGAGTGGGGTTAACCAGGGGAGACTGGCTGGCCAGAGAGCAGGTGGGGACGTACTTGAACAAGATGAGCTCCAGGCTCTGACCTCCTGCCCTGTAGCCTCAGGGAAATGCAAACTGAAAAATTTCCCTGATTCCAAGAGAATAAAAAAAAGATATAGAATTGTTTCTCGAAGTCTTCCCCACTGAGTTTATGAACCCTGCCAGTAGCTCCTGAGCAAGCTTTACAAAAATGTTGGCAGCAAGCAGAGACCAAGAAAACATTGGTGTTTCTTAACTTAAACCAAAGTTGGAAAAAATGAGCACCAGCAGAGAGGGAGAGGAGCCCCAAACTAGACATTTCTTTATTTGCTGTTGCTATTTTGGGTCCAGCAGGCTGGCCCTGTCTGGGGGAGGGCAGGGGAGAGACTAGGGGTGGAGGGGAAATGGGGGGTTAGGCATTCCTGCCATCTCCCTGGGGCTGGTGGTTTGGAGGGAAAAAGGCCACTAACCACCCTGGGGAGAGGCCAGATGAAATGAACAGTCATGGGAGGTTTTGGGGTTTGACATGTGGGGTCAGGGGCTTCTCCAGACTTTGGTAAGGATGAACTAAAAGCAGAGAGGTGCGTGAAGGGTGAGATCAGTATTGTCTTTGCCTGTCCTGCACCCCATTCTGATCCTCTTACCCGGCCTGAGCTCCTCTTCAGGGACCCAGGCCCCCTCTACCAGTTGGAGACTCCTTAACTCATCTTCCCTTTCCCCTTCTGAACCTACCACAACTCCTTTCTCCTGTTATTCAGCTCCCTGTCCCAGGGCAGACACTCCTCCAAGCTCATGCACACAAAATCTAGGTACTTGCTGTGTTACTTCCTCTAAGGGACACTGTTATTCTAGGAGTGAGAAACTTCTCCTCACACCATGTCTGACCCTTGATTTCAATGAAATGGTGAAGTAGTTGTGGAAAATAAATGTTTTGTTTTGGGATGTTGTGGCTCTTCCACTTTGGCAGAGCTTCTGAAAGTTTCAGGATAAAAAGCAGCTGAAGACCAGTGAATAGTGGTTAACATGCTGATAAACACTTGAAAGGATAAGGATATCAGATGATATACTAACATCCAGCCACCACACCCCCACCCCAAAAAACCCCAAACAAACACAAAAGAAAGTGAAGGGGGAGTTTTTAACCTCTTTCCCTTGCAGACTTGGATCATTTTATCTCCTTTAGAAACATATTCTAGAACTGTACTGTCCAATATAGTAGTCATATGGTGCTATTTAAATTTAAATTAATTAAAATGAAATAAAGCTAAAAATGTTCCTTAGTCACACTAGCTTCATTTTAAGTGCTCAGCTGCCACATGGGGCTAGTGGCTACCATATTGGACTGTGCCAGGAGAAACCACTTCCATTGTAGCACAAAGTTTATTGGATGGTGCTATTCTAGAAGAGACCAGAAATGAGGAGGTGGTGGGAGAGGGCAGAATGGGGATCTGGGTCTAGATAAGGCTTTTCTTAGCAGAGAGAGCCTAGGTGGGATGGCACAGTCTTCTCCTTGGCTGGGTAGGAATCTCTGCATGTGGGGAAAGCCCTCCTAATTATACACTCCCCTTCCATGAAATTCTAAGTCCTCCCACAGGGCACACCTCTGTTGAGGTGTCAGGCTGGTATGCTCAAGTCCTGGAGGACCCCTCTCCCCAACTCAGTTGGGTCATTCTGATCCTGAACGGGATTGCAGTTCTCTGTCCTTCTTTGGTACCCAGTATCCAATGGAGGTGGTGCCTGGAGCCCGGATGCCGGTGCAGATACGGGTGAAGCTCTGGTTTGGGCTCTCTGTGAATGAGAAGGATTTCAACCAGTTTGCTGAGGGCAAGCTCTCCGTCTTTGCTGAAACGGTAAGTGCCTGCCAGCCTATGCTCATCCCCCTGCCCCTCCACTGCTCCTGCCCCCACTCACTTTTCTCTATTGCTCTCTCTCCAGTATGAGAACCAGACCAAGCTGGCCCTGGTTGGGAACTGGGGCACAACAGGCCTCACCTACCCCAAGTTTTCTGATGTCACAGGCAAGATCAAGCTACCCAAGGACAGCTTCCGCCCCTCGGCTGGCTGGGCCTGGGCTGGAGACTGGTTTGTGTGTCCAGAGAAGACGTGAGTGTGGGACAGGGGGGTTTGGGGACCCCCTCTTCTCAGGCCCATTCTCTGAAAGGACTTGGCCCTGTTAATCCCTCTGCCTGCTCCTACTGTCCCTGTGCTGGTCATAGGGACTTCCTCTTGAACTCTTTTAGGACCCAGGTCTCACTAGGCAGCATTCCTTCCTGGAAGGGCTCTAATAGTCAGAAAGTCCTTTATTAAACTAAAATTAGTCCCTGTTTGACTTTGCACCCACTGGCTGTGGCTTCCTGTTGAAGATGCCCTGGAAAACACACTTCTTCCTCTGTGTGCACCCCTTCTCTCATCTGCATTGCCGTCTTTACTTCATTCTCCTCTCTCTTTTCCTCTTCACAACTGGTTTTCTTCTCTCATTTTTTTTATCTTTTAAAAATTCAAGTATAATTTATATATTGCAGTCAAGTGCTCAAATCTTAAGTCTACAGCTTGATAGCATCTCACATTGCTACAACTATCTGTTAGGCACCATCACCACCAGGCTTGTGGCTTCATCAGTCTCTCTCTGCATCTTGGGGGGAAAATAGTCCTCTGCCTGCAGGTGTCTCTAGGTCTCCCTGGGGTTCCTTTTGCTCTCTCACCTGACTCTCTGCCCCCTCATTTCCCTCTCTCCTCCATCTCCCTTGTTGCCCATTGGGTGAGGCTGGTGTAGGAAGGCTGGCTAAGGCCCCAGCATGCTCTGTTGGACGCAGTGAATGGGTGGGGATCTCTTCGGCAGAAGCTCTGACCTGCCCCTGCCCACAGCTTGCTCCATGACACCGATGCGGGCCACCTGAGCTTTGTGGAGGAGGTGTTTGAGAACCAGACCCGGCTCCCAGGAGGCCAGTGGATCTACATGAGTGACAACTACACGGATGTGGTAAGGGGGCACTCTGAGGGCAGGTGGGCTCTGCTTTCCTGGAGTCTTGGCCACTGGAGCCCAGGAGGGGCCTGTGACTCAGAGAAGCAGCCACAACGCTTCCAGAGAGACAGTGTGACATCCGGTACGGGTAGGACTCAGACCCTGAGTCACACCTGAGAACTCAAGGATGCTGTCAAGTTGCATCTTCTCTGCCTCCCTGGTAATGTCTGTCTGCTCTCACACTTCCCTATCCTGCGTTGCTCTAGAACGGGGAGAAGGTGCTTCCCAAGGATGACATCGAGTGCCCACTGGGCTGGAAGTGGGAAGATGAAGAGTGGTCAACAGACCTCAATCGAGCTGTTGATGAGCAAGGTAGGCAGCACCTGGTGCCCAGTGAGCCCCACTCAGCCCCATGCTGGCGGGGACAGCTGGGTGCTGGGCTTCTTGCCCTGGGCACTGGCTTCACTCAGCTACTTCATCTGGGGAACTTCCTGGATTAGCCCTCCCTTCAGGCTACCAGACTACCTGAGAGTCAGTGCCACCCCAAAGTCTGTGAATGTGCCCCAGAGGGAGAGCGAGCCTCTGGAGGGATGGGGACTGGTGAGGCAGTGAGTGACAGGAGCTCCCCCCCAGGTTGGGAGTACGGTATCACCATCCCACCGGAGCGGAAGCCGAGACACTGGGTGCCGGCTGAGAAGATGTACTACACACACCGCAGGCGGCGCTGGGTCCGCCTGCGCAGGAGAGACCTCAGCCAGATGGAGGCGCTGAAGAGGGTGAGCCTGGAGGGTGGTGGGTGGGGGATGAGGCCCTGATGGGGAAGGCTAGCAAGGCACAGGTGCACACTTGTGTGCTCAAACACATGCAGGTGTGCACAGGACATGCACAAGGCACTCAGACTCCCTCGAGAGACTCACAGGTCACCAAACACATGCAGCTCATACCCGGCATGCACGCAGATGACATCTAGCACATACACAGATCATACCCTACACATGCACAGGTGCTCACAGACAGAAAACACCCAGATACCCATGACTGTGTGAGCGGCTGTACTCAATGCACACATAGATCTGCAAGATCAAAGACATACCTGGAATGTGTCTATGTCTGGGCGTCCTGGAGGCAGAGTCTGAGACAGGGATTTGGCTGTGTGTAGTTTATTGAGACTGCGCTCTCTGGAGTGCCAGGAGAAAGGATGTGGTCTCAGGCAAAGTCAGCTTTGGCCTGGGCTGTGGCTTGGGGAAGGCTACACCCGGGACCACCACAGAATCATCCTCACCTGGAGGCAAGGGGGCTGCCATTTGTGTCTGCTTAGCCATCAGTCACTGGCTGGGGGCTACTGGGGGTGGGTTGGGGCATGTACCTTCCCCAACTCCCTTCAGCCTGGGCAATTCTCAGGAGAAGTGGGCTGCTGGAGCTGGTAGCTGGGGATGTGTGCACCGTGTGAGTATGCTGGCCAGAGAAGGGCCTGGGTGGGCTCTGTCAGCATTTACCAGGGCATGTGTACACAGTGCAGGGACACACCTACACAGAGGTACCCAGGTACCCACGGGACACAGGCAGGCACAGAGTGGGCACGTATGAGCATATGCAGTTCAGCACCTGCTCTCAGAGTGGCATAGAGGCCCCAGCCTCAGTGCCTACCTCCCCTGGACCCTCTTGGGCTGTGTTCTTCCTTCCCAAGGACAAGTTTGGATTTTTGGCCTAAGAGCCAGGCCTCTTCCAGTCCAGGAGTAGCCTTTGGGGCATGATCCAAGTCCCTTCTTTCTTTGGGCTCAGAGAATCTAGAGAGGGATGTCTCTGGATCCAGGGAGAAGCAAGGTCTTTGGGCAATAAGCCTTTTATGGTGTCACGAATCATACTCTGCTTTTGCTGTAGGGGCATCCGGGAGACAGAGGAAAACCTTGCCTGCCATGTGCCCTGCCTGCTCTCTCACCACCAGCATCCCTCCTGCAGGGGGATGCACCGGCTTCCAGGGCTGGTACTCACGCCTGAGCCTGGGGCAGACCTGAGGACAGTATCAGGCCACAAGCTACACAGGAAGGGCCTTCCAGGGCTTCCAGGCCTGGGAAGAAGTCCCCTTGGAGGAAGTGCCTGGGGTCCCTCCACGGCTGACCTAGCCCTAGCCTCAGGAAAAATAGCCTGGGGCTGGAAACAGGATCTTCATTTACCGGCTTCTATTTTCATAAGCTGGGATGTGAAGGAGAAAACTTTGGGTTCATGAAATCCACCCATAATCCAAATAAACAAACATACCCAAAGCCCAGTGTTTCATCCCTGCTTCAGTCTGCCTTCCCTCTATGGCTCCTTGGATCTCCCCATAGCCCAGAGAGCCTCTTCCCCTACTCATTTTCTTACCCGTGTGTCTTGCTGCTGCAGAAGTTGCTCTGAGCCCCCTTCCTCCAGGTGGCCCACCCAGGTTTTTCTACTTGGAGGACGCTAGTTTGGAGTGGGTGGAGAATCGTGGAAGGCAAAGCTGGAGCCCAGCCCAGGCCTCCCGCAAACTCGACCAGCCGTCCCTGAGGCTGCCCTGTTCTCCCTGTGCAGCACCGGCAGGCCGAGGCAGAGGGTGAGGGCTGGGAGTACGCCTCGCTCTTTGGATGGAAGTTCCACCTGGAGTACCGCAAGACAGATGCCTTCCGCCGTCGCCGCTGGCGCCGCCGCATGGAGCCCCTGGAGAAGACGGGGCCTGCAGCTGTGTTTGCCCTCGAGGGGGCCCTGGTATGTTGCTGTGTGTGTCCTGGGTGGGTGGGGTGCAGCTCAATTTCCCGAGCTACTCAGGGCTGCACAGGGCTGACTCAGGGAAGGTGTAGGGGCCCCAAAGGTAGGACTTCAGGTGGAACGTAGGCTGGTCATCGTGGCTTCGGGTCCTCTCTGGGCTTGTATGTGGGGGAAATGGATACGTCTGGGTGTTCTTCTACAGTAAAACAGTCCTTTCATAGCACTGGAAGACCCACTGCTTCTGTGTAGTCCAGATGGGAGCAGGGCAGAGGGCCTCAGCCCTCTGATGGTCCAACCTGTGACTGGAGCCAGGAGACCTGGCTCTTCTTGAAGAGGCTAGTTGGCATGGGGTGGGCCTAGCACATGGGAGAAGCTGGAGAGGTCTAGTGACCCCTGGAATGTCCTTTGTTGGTCATGAGTCCCCCTTGGTTGGACAGAAGCCATCTCATGGCATCCCCAGGGACTTTTGGGGAAGGGCATACCTCAGAAATGGAACCCCAGGCTGGCGGTGTTGCCTCAGAGTCCACCTTCTGGAGCCAGTGGAACTGAGGTCAGCTTCAGGTTATCCAGGGTCTGGATGAGGTATTCCCAAGTAGATGATCAGGCCCTTCCTGAACAGCTGTGATTCCCAGAGGTAGTGGGGAGAGGTCCAGGGTGTGAGACTTCTCCTCTGAAACCAGCCAGGAATGCCCACTGTCTGGGGTGGGGGGATTTGGGCTGTGCCCCAGGGGCACAGATCCTACCAGCTTTGCTGGCTGATGGGATCTGAATGTATTCACTTGCAACCAGTTGTGTGTGTGTGTTTGTGTGTGTGTGTGTGTGTGTGTGTATGCACACACAGGGTCTGGGTGAGGAGCAATGGGTCTTAGCCCTAGAGCTAAGTGGGGCAGGCTCAGGATCTGGTGGGGTGGATACAGGGAAGGGAGTTGAGGGTGTCAGTGGCCCTGAGGGGGAGTGGGCAGGGCCCAAAGGTTCCCTCACTCTCAGGCTTGATGGGCTGGGTCCAGGGTGTCAGTATGGGAGAAGAAACCCTCTGGGGGCTGGATGGCATCAGAGGCTGTGGAGGGAATGCTTTCTAGTTTTGGGATCAAATTACATGGTGTCTTAAAGGAGACTGCCAAGCTCCGGGCTCTCCGGCCACCAAGCTGGTGCTCAGGTTGGGTGGGGTGGAGCTGCCGCCCAGCCAGGGGTCCTCATGGCACAGGGCTGGTGGTGGTGACTCCCTTTGTCTTGACAGACAGGGCTTGGCTTGGGCCCAGGGCAAGGCCTGGGGGTGGCTGTGTGGCTCCAGCTGAGGGGTAGGGGGATGAAGGCCTTGGCAGAACTCAGTCAGGTCTGGGTCTGAGCAGGCCAGGCAGGCCCACTCTGAGGAACCAGGACTAGTTTTCATCAGACAGAAACTCAACTCCAATGAGCTGAAGAGAAAAGGAATTTACGAGCTCAGACTGCTGGGAAAAACCCAAGAAGTGAATCAGGCGTGAGGCCTGGCAGGAAATAGGGGTTCACACAGTGCCTCCGGGTCTCTATGGTTCTGACTTGCTCCTCTCTTGGCTTCGTTCTCACACTGGCTTATTCTGTGTGGTGGCAGTGGTGCCCGTGACAAAAGACTGACACCAACTTTACTGCCAGCACAGCCCTGGTGCATAAAACAGCATGACCCTCCCCGTGTGCTCTGCTTTCCTCACAGCTGAGGACCCCGGAGAGGAGGAGCGTGCCACTTCCCCCATAATGCCAGGAGCAGATTTGTGTGTGATGGACTGGTTCTGCTTGGTCACGTGCCCACACTGGCCCTTGAGCCTGAGGGCGAGGAATGGAATGTTCTGGTTGACCATCCTGGTCACACCCCTTTTCTATAGTTGACAGCATCACCAGGTTGAGAAAAGAGCATCTGGAAAGGAAAAAAAATAAACCCGAACAGTGCTGGGCAGAAAGCTGCTGCTCATGACCACAGGACTGGTCAATGAGCAGCAGGAGCCAGTATGTGCTGTTGAGCAGAGGGTACTCTGGGCAGAGTTGGGCTTCATGGCTGTTAGTCAAGTCACCCTGGAGGATGATTGAGGACGGAGATCCCCCCATCAGAAGACCACCAGGAGTGTTAGTCAGAGCCCTGGGGTGGGGTGGTCATCTGTGTGGGAGACCAGAGTGGAGGGAGGTGCAGTGGCAGGACCAGGGGAGGGAAGGGTCAGATGGGCCTGGGATGCTCCACTGGATGGATGGAAGGCCCTCTCCCATTGCCAGGCTGTGGGGTGGGGTAGGTCTGGGCTGCGATGAGCTCACGGTTGGCCCTGGCAGGTCTGACACACGGTGAAGTGCTGTGTGAGGAACGCAGATCTAGCAGCTGCCTGCCAGGTGGCCCAGGGCAGGGAGGCAGGGGACCTGGGGGCTATGTGTCAGCTGTAAGGTGAGGGGGCCAGGAGAGACCAGAGGTGCCCAGAGACACGTGGACAGCAGTGTGGATGAGCTCTGGGCTGGCCAGGATCTGGAGGAAGAAGATGAGCAAGCCTGGGGGACCCACTGCCAAGCTTTCATGGCTCGGTGACTGGGAGAACGAAGTGGGGCATTTCCCAGAAACAGAAACCAATCCATTTATTCTTTATGTGGGAGAAAAATGTCATGAGGGAGCATTGAAATAAAATCTCAACTCAACAGGCACAGGAAGGTGATTGATTGCGATGCTGATGTGACTTGCTGGTGATATATATATGGAAGAAAGCAGCACAGTGCAGCCCTCTGGCTCCTGGTGGGGCTTTGCTGAGAAACAGAGGCAGAGCACTCCAGAACCAGGGCAGTGGTTGGAGAGGCTGCATCCCGCAGACCTGGAGTTAGAGAACACAGAGTTTTGGAAAGCCTTTAGGTGTGGCTGGCATTTGGACAGGGCCACGGGCCCATTTGACAGGAACCGTCTGGACCACTCTGTACTGTAGTGAATCGGACCTCCATTGACACCAATACACACACACACACACACACACACACACACACACTCACACACACATGCACTCATATACACACACACACACACACACACACGAGCTCTCTTTCTCTCTCCTTCCTAAGGACAACCTGGGCTCCTTCCCTGAACCCACTGTCCTTCATCCTGGGATGTACTGATGCCTCACTAAAGCCCACCCTGCATCCTGGGGGCAGACGGATGGGTTTTCTGGGTGCCAGGACCCGTTTACTGTCCCGGGACTGATCTTTGCTCACTGGCTGCTGACTCCTGCTCATTCACATGGTGGGAGTGAGGTGTATGTGCAGGCTTCTGAGGGGTTTGGTTTGGTTTGAACTCTGCTCCCTCTGTTTCCTAGCTGAGGACAGGTGGCTTCTCCCTTTAGCCCCTCTTGTTACCTCACCCATGAATGTCGCTGCATCCTAGGGTCATTGTAAGGATTAATTACAGCACTCATCTAAAGAAGTGCTTCTCAGCTTGAATGTACACAGGAGCCCCCCGGGGGCCTTGTTAAAGTACACCCTCCTGAGCTGATGTCTGGGTGGTGCTGAGAGTCTATATTTCTAACAAGACTCCAGGTGATGCCGATGGGCCTCGCTCAAGGACCATCTCTGGATAGTGAGGATGTGAAGTTACACGTACATCATGAAGATGAAGGAGGTGGTGCCCCACTTGGCTGCCTCCCTGAGAGAGGCAGGGTGTGTCCATTTTTGGCCGAAGGTGTGAGGCCAGAGTCCTGAAGAGGGAGGCAGGGGAGTATGTCATGTTCTTCTTGTTCCTTGGTGAGAGAGAGTTATCCAAGGAGCCCTTGAGGTGATGGTGGAGGCCTGGCTCATGATGAACCACTGTCTGATTAGGAAGAGAGATGTTACATGTGAGTGTAAATAGATCCAATAGTGCTTAAATGGCATCTTCGAAGTGTTGGAAGAAAGAGGAGGAGTCACTCCAGACTGATGGTGCCTAACGAGGGAGTTTCCTGGAAGAGGACATTGGGAGGCAGACCTGGAGTGCAGGGAAGGATTGTGGGTGGTGGCCAGGGAGCCTTCCAGGTAATCTGGCATTTCTGGATGTCTGGGTCCAAGGACCAGGCCGGTGGCGCCCCCTTGCCTCCTCCCACCCTCCCCTGTCGCACACCGCGTCCACCGGCAGGCTGGGCCTCGCTTGCCAGCGCCCCTCCTGAAGACGTCTCGCTGGAAGGCAGGCTCCATCTGCTCATTAGTATGGGCAGCCTTTCCCTGAAACCTTCTGCTGGGCCAAGGCTGGCTCCCTCCTTGGAGCGGGAGGCCCTGGCTCTGTCTGCTAATCGTCTGCTGTCTCCATCCCGAGCATTATTTTATTTTCATATTATTCTTTTTCCAGCTAATATCCTGGCATTCCCAAAGACACCGGGTTTCATAATCGTCCTGGCGTTCCCAGGGAGCTGGGAAGTGGAGCACAAAGCTGCTATTATAGCGTGTTCCATCCAGCCTCCCTCTCCTCGCCACACACGCCTTGCTGCGGCCGCAGGCTCCCGCCCAGCCACCCCCTCCCGACGCCACCGGCCTCTCTGGGAACTCTGGGGACGGCTGCTGGGGTGAGCTCACAGAATCCATCCTGTCGCCCTTGCCTTGGTCCTGCCCTCAGTGCACGAGGATTTTTCCAGAGCCCTGTCTGTGTACTTGGCTTTAGTGTCAGGAAGGATTTTCTGAGCTGCCTGAGCCTGGGCAGGAGGGGAGGAGACAGAGACTCAGCAATATGTGCTCACAGCCTTGGAGATTTTTAGAGCTGGAGGGAATTTTCATGTTTGAAAGGTGTTCTCCACCTGGCTTTGGAGCTGCTTGAAATTAGATGTGAAATTGTGGATGTGCATATGAGATGTGCGCGTGCATGTGTCTCTGATGTGTGAGCATGTACTGTGTGCATGCACACACAATTCATGTGTGATGTGCAAGTGCAACCTGTATGTGCAAGTGTGTATGAATGTGTATGATGTGTGCACATGTGTGATGCATGTGTGTGTGCACATGTGTGTCTGTGATGGGTAAATTCTGGTGCAAGGTCCATTGTTTTC